TGTGTGTGTGTGTGTGTGTGTGTGTTCTGACTGCAGGTTGTGCCTCTAATTGCACTCATGAGGGTCTCCAGAGTGAATAGCAGTTGTCTGCAGAGGAGAAAGTGACACGTATTGATTTGAAAATGGGGGCTGGATCTCATTAAGGCTTTCCCCCCTGACAAAATTCCACACTCTCATTTTTCCTAAAAAACTGAGGCTCAGCCAAAGCCAGCTCAGGTCTTTCTCAGCGTCTGCTGTGCTTCCTCAGGTTATCCCTCAGGACCAATGCACTGTGCTGTGTATTCTTTACACTGGAAACTCACTAAGCAGACAGTGATGCAACATAATGCTGCCATGATACACAACTAAGGTTTATGCATAACTTTGCATAATGTCAAATGAGTTCAAAGAAACGTATCTCTGCTGGAGGCCAACCTCGCAATCCAAGCCTAATGCGGGTATTTTGCAAAATGAGCTTTTCCTCTGTGTTTGCCACATAATGCTGTTCAAAGTGACTGAAATGCAGTTATTATCAGCACTTTGAGCCATGTGCCAGAGGGGTCTTTGATAAGGTGATGAAACAGAGGTCAAATAACGATAACCAAATATGAGTAAAAAAAATGTTAAAAGTTATTACCACCAAAGTAGAATAAGGTCACTGAGCATGCTTACAGTGTCCTAATTTGACGGCTCGTTGATGTACACTTTATTGCCACCTACTGGTCCGGCGTGCTTAGTTGCGAGGAAAAATATCCTTTTCATTCATGCTTATAGTTTGATTTGAAAATATCAGTTTTTTTAATGATCATTTAAGTTAATCCTGGACCTTGGATATAACAGATGAAAAAACATACTCAACAGGGACTTTTAGTAGCTTTTCAGGACTTTCAATGGTGTCACATGATCTTCATCAACAGATGGAGTCATCGGGACGATTGTGATGTGAATAAAAGCTACAAAACAGCTACTAAAAGGACCTGGTGAGTCTGTTCCTCCAGCTGCTATTTTCAAAGTTGAGAATATCTGCAGCTTCTACAACAAAATGGGTGAGAATTATGAAGTGCAAGGTACAATGTAAATTTGATGTCAACTACGTCCTGTACAGGAAAAACAGCTACTAAAAGGAAGATTTGGTGAGAATATAATAACATCCAGTTTTGAGTGATCTCATTACATCTGAGGAATAATACTACGTCCTGCCACATATACTCAATTTTACTCTGAATTATGTCACATTATATTGACTACAGACACATCCACTTATTAGTCAGAGTCTCCCTGACTGGTGCTGGTGATAAACTGAACATTTTTATAATGGTCAAGAGTGAAATCTCTGAATAGCTGAATGGAACAAAAGATGATTTTTAAGTCTGTGTTTTTGAATGATACACCCGCCTCTGTTATATTACACAACTTGTCTGGATCATCCACAGACACAACCACTTCAAACCATAACAAAAAACAGCTGCAACAATCAAGAACTAATTCCCAATTACCTTCTGGTCTTCCTGCTGATTCCCTCTATTCGCCATTGACTATGTGGAGGTATTGACCGAGCAGGTGCATAAAACTAAGGGAATCTACCGGTCAAAGACTTAATTGGTTGCTATCTCTGCAGCTACATCTTTGGCAAGTACCTGACATCATTAACCGAAGGAAAAGAGATGAATATAAGAAAAAATGTGCTAATAGGTAACATTGCTTTGAGATTAACTTGGCTGTAAGATTATGAAGCGTCAGAAAATGAAAAGCCTGAACCCTTTTACCCCTGAGGGCCTTGTTATCAAAAGGAAGTACGCGACATTAAGGATGGGAACAATGAACAGAAGCGTCTGTCTGTGCGGTTAACTGTCGTCTTGATCAAGCAGCAGGCTTTGACTATGCTTTTCAAACTGTCCTCCTTTCTTAAGACCAGCTCCCTTTTCTCCTCGGAGAGCCGTCTCCCGTGGACACAAGCTGGGCTCCCACACAGCATACCAGAGCATGCCACATGTTCAGTGGAGCACCAAGCCTCCGCCTGTCCCTCATGAAATATTCATGACCCGGTGCCGACGGAAAAGCTGTGATGTCAGAGACTGCAGTTTTGGTGTCCAGTTTCTGTGCAGCCACGGTGACACAGCAGCAGCTTGGTGAGGTAAGGAGGACGGGGGGCTTCAGGTGGCTTTCTGCTGGGGTTAACTATAAACACTTGTCCCGTGAACTGTGAAATAGGAGCTCATCTCATTGTTTACCATGTCTCTGCAAGGGTTTTACTTACTAACCAGGGATTTAGGAGTGCTCTCTCTTAGTCACCCAATCAGTCCGATAACGTCTTTCAGAGAAGAAGGTTCGTTTTTTGTTTTCTTTCAATGGACATTTTCACAGAAAGTTATAATCAGAGGAGATTGTTATGTATGACTGACTTGACCACATTTGAGGGATTCTACTAAACACAGTCAAAGCAAATGCTCCTGGTTCAGTTTGAGGGGAATGAATGATCAACAGTTATGCTACTTCCGGGCTGTTGGACATGGTGCGGCTTCTGTAGACAAAATCTGAACCTTTCCATCCATCTGTCAGTATTTGTCTTTGCTTTCCATTAACAGTAAAATTAAGAACTTTGATTTTGAACTTTGGTCTCCACATCGCAATGGCCATAACTGTCTCACACACTAAGACTGTTGAATGAATATCATGATTACCCTGTCTGCCTTCTATCTGCCTGCAACAAAATAATGTATATATTACCTCTGCTACTCCATTCAAAGTGCCGCTCTCCCCTGAAAATTACCTGCCGGCTGTCGCGCTGGGAAGAAGAAGAGGAGGAGGCGCTCTTGTGAACTGGCGTGGAAGTCATCTTGTTGACTGGCATGGCGCTCCTCTCCTCAGAGCTCATGGTGCGGCCGTGGAGGCCTCGCTGGTAGTGTTGGTGGTAAGACATGGTGGGCACCGACCAGTTTGACTCTGTGGACCTCCCTCAGCACTGGGCCCAGCAGATCAGGGGCATCGTCTGATACGTCCTCACTCTCACTGCTCGCTGTTCATCTGAAAAACAAAAGATATTACTAAAGAATTAACGAATTTATGATTTCAAACCCAGAGTGAACCTAATATTAAGGCTAATAACTAATAATCTTGATTATCGATGAAAATGTCATAGAAATATTGCAACAATTCCACAATCCCAACTTTGATGAGCCAACAGTGACGTCTTCTAATGTTTTCTTCTGTCCAACAGTTCAAAACCCAGAGATATTAAATTTACTAAGATCTGAGCAAGAAATAATCCTGATTGTTGTCAATTAATACCTCAATTAATCAACCAATTGTTTCAGCCCTGACAGCTCTAATCTCTGTGCAGCTGTGGCTCCTGAGGTAGAGCAGGTCGTCCACTAAACAGAGAGTCAGTGGTTCAATCCCTGGCTCCACCTCTGTGTCTTTGAACACTGACAGCTGTATGTGAATGACGTGTGATAGAACAGCATGACATTTAAAGCGCTGTGTGAATGTGACTTAGTGTATAACAATTTGAGTAAATGGTAATGGACTGCATTTATTCAGCGATTATCAACTACTCAAAGCACTTTTCACTGCAACTCCCTTTCATCCGTTTACACACACACACAGCTTTACACAGCACAATTCGGGGCTCAGTATCTTGGGCAAAGACGCTTCAGAATGTAGACTGGAGCCACCAAGGATCGAAGCACCAACCCTGGTAAGCGGTCGACTTGTTCCACCCATGTGATTGCTCGTTAAGAGAAGAGAAGCATAAAAACGCAGTCTATAACCTCTAATGACATGAGCCTCTAACTGTGTCCACCCATTTACTTCAGTTTAACGGAAAACAGTAGATCTTTGTACAATTAGAGAAATGTGGTCATTTCATGACTGTCACTGCCTTCACTGTGGAAGATGGAGATCGTCCCAAAGAACTGCTTATGTGACATAAATCCTCAAACATCTAATTACCACTTAGATAATGATGATAAATAGTGAGGATAGCAGAAAAATATATCAAAACTTATATAAAAAGTTGAGGATGACAACAATATTCTCTGGTTTAAACTGTTAAAGCTCAGTCATAATTTAAATACATGCAGTAGATTTAAAATGTCTGGTAAAGCCAATGTTGAGGCAGTAACTGGGAGAGCTTGTTGTCATCATTAGTGACGGCACTGTGTTGCTCCACACCGACACCCATAACACTTTCTGCAGAGGAACTGTGTGAGCTCTCAGGATCTCCCATTACTGATAGAACATACATCAATGCCAAGAGCGTAGGAAAACAAACAGATAAACAAACCCTGTTCAGTTCAGAGACGCTTGGTGATATGATGAGAGTAGTCGACATGTACGAGCACGAATAACACAATCTTTCTATTTCTAATTGAATACCTCCAAAATACAGAAATCAGTTCCCCAAATATGTCAGATTTTTTTTCATCAAGATGCATGAAATACTCCCTGGAAAATGTAAAAACAAATGCTCAATCTGGCAATATTGAAGAAAGTGGGAAAGAAATCCTGGATCCACAAAATTTGATGGGTTCTTTCTAGACCCATGTCCCATTCTTCTACCAGGTTTAATAAAAATCTGTTCTGCAGTATTTGCATAATCCTGCTGATAAACAAACAAACTAGGAAGTCACACAGTAGAAAGCAAACCTCCACCAAAGACTAAAGGTCTCCTTTAATCCAATCAAATTGCACCAAATTTCACACTCTCATAAATCCTCTAAACATGACAGATTTTTTTCCAGATCCACCAACAAACAAAGGGACAGGGGTGAAACCGGTGGAGGTAATTAATCCTTAGTTGTAGTCCCAGTTATAGTATAGCAAATCAGACATCAAGTCTCACATCAGGACACAATATTATACTGGAACATAAAACTGTACAGCAGGGCAGAGTTTTAACATCTCACCACAGACTGCTTGTGTTCACATGCATTGTATACGACTCTGGAGCCTCCTGTGGCTTTAACTACATAACATTTCTGATATAGGCTCTCCCACAGGTCTGGGAAACTCCACTGAGCAGCTCTGCACATTCCAGCAGTATGCAAGCTCACATGCGATGCTGCAGTATACTCACACACACTATATCATCTATATTTCAGATCCTTTGACAACATCACCATCCCCGCCCCTTCTTAAGCCTATGAGGATCTAAGCTACTGTGGGACTATGTGCTAAGTCCGTTCAGATAGTGTGTGCCACTTAGCCTATTTAATAGATCCCCTCTCCTTGACCTAATAAGGAAGCAAGAGCGAGGAGTACTTTCAGAGTAAACCTCCTGATTTAACAACACTTTTAACCTTTGACTACAGGAGTTTTCCAGTAGTGTGTGAGCTAAAATTCACTGTGACATTTTTACTGTACATTTAAGACATAAAAAAGACATGAAGCTGCTGTTAGTAAAAGTGGGGTGACCGCAAAAATGGCTATTAAAAATGATAACTTTTCACTTTTGAATAACTTATTACTTCCACACAGTAAAATACTGCTTTCTTAAAATATGACAAACCTACGTGGAGCAGTGTGTTTGGCTCCAGCGCAACAAACACAAACAGCAGCGACATTGCTCGACATGAAGGCAGTTGCCATGTTGGGGGGAGTATCCGCACAGAACTTGATTAGTCATAAGCTTAATCTTCTAAATCCAGTCACCATGATTATGGCGCTCTAAGAAGGAGGATGAGGCAGGCGCTGCCACATGGATACTACTGTGACGCTTCTCAAACACACAGGCCAGTAGCAAACCAAACACTGTCCTCATTACACTGTGGTTATAAGATGATAATGTGTGTTTTGTGCTGATAAAACATGGTGTTATGGTCTGATTCAATCCTGTAACCATGGAACAATACATTTTGAGATGAAATCCATTGTAAAAAAAGTTCCAGGGAGAAGTTAGTGCTTCAACTTTCACTCTGAAGAATGCATAAGTCATTTTTTACAGATGTGATATCATTAAAATGTTTTGCCTGGTTCTACTGAAGCTGTGGCCACTAAAATGGAATATTCCAAACATGATAGATGATACATATGAGAAACCTAGGTAAGAAAATGATTCTATCTATCTTTCAAATGTTTTTTTAGAGCAATAAATCAGACAGATTATTCCAATATTCTCTAGACTCATGCACATAGCAGATGTGATCATTTCTCTCGACACACTTTATGCTCAAACTCATTTTCAGAGAGTCTGAGGATCAGATAGTCGACTGTGGCTGCAGAGTTTCAATATGTAGACAAAGAAGAGCCTTCAGTGGCGAGAAGCAACAACACGATAGTATGTAAGAGTCAGAGGAAAAGACCCTTCTGTCGACATTCTTTCAATGCCTCAAGTTGAAGTAAAATTCCACCAAACTCTGACAACTTCCCCACATTCACTGCTGAGGTTTAGTCTTAACATGCAATTGTTTACTCATCATTAGGCAAAAGCAGTTTCCTTTATAGTAATAATCTTTATATTAATCTTTATAGTACTTTTTTTTTTAAGAATATGGAATGAGGCTTTTCCTAAACCAGCTCAGTGCCTGAAAGAAGCTTTAATGAAAGAGTATGGTGAGATCCATGGTGATGGGATAAAAACAATGAAAATGTAAGAGTTTAGGTGAAGAGAGGATGTGTGAAAAGCTCTACTACTGATCACCATTTTCAAACTGAAACAGCCTGCAACATGCAGCCTCTTTTTTTACGCTGATGCTTTAAACACTGCAGAGATTTATTTATAAAAATTAGCCTTTCTTCTGTCTAATTTCCTCAAAACCGCTTAAAGCCAACAGCTGTGTGGCTCCACCTCCATGAAGTGTCTCAATAGGCAAGAAACAACTTTCACTTCCCTTTCCTCTCTCTCTCGTTTCCTCCCATAATGCACCCTCGGCTCTCTCACATACATTAATCTTCTCCGTCTCATTTCATGCGCTAGATAGAGGGATTTTCAGAAACCAAAAGGTAACGATGAGAACTGTCATAGATGTTCTGACCTCTGACCTGTGCCATCATCTCATTATTGTTGAGATTCGGTTCAGAGATTCACACAAGGTTTATCAAATTAGACTCCGGAGACTCTTAAAACAAACTGAGTAAACAGCTCAATGAGTTTCCATTAACAGGAGACAAGGCCTCATTTATGACTAGTGTGTTGTCTGCACTGGCAGCATATCTGCAACATTTACCCAGTATGTTTATTGCTGAATAATGCATCAATATTAAATGACTGTGGAACGATTTCTTGTGTTGAAGAGGTGAATTAAAGGTAACAAAGAGAGTTTTAGTTATTTGTTCATATTAGGAAAGCACATGTGAGACCTGACGGAGCAGTTCCACTTTATTTAGTTCTTGCTATGTTGGCCGACTGATTCTGCAGCAAATAAATATTTGTAAAGTGTCCAAGTCTCCATTGGAGAGCTACTGAGCATATAAACAGATTAATGGAAGTATTGCATACTTCTCTAATCAGGAATTTTTGATAAACCAAAGATATTTCTGATTGTATATTAATACATGGTCGTAAAGAGTTGGCATTCAATTGTTAGATAGTTTATTAGTTCCTTATATCTGTGTTAATTTATCACAGGAAGTTCATTTCTGAGAAATTTCGTTATTTTAATGTAGTGGTGGTAAGTACTTTTTATAGTCCAGCAAATACATTTGCAGCAGCTGTGGTCATGTTTTAATTTTGGTGAATTATTGTACTTCCGATTATAAAGTTGTGAGAATCTAAATGAAGCTCAAACAGTGTGACATCATGACAACTACAGGCTTCAGGCTTGTATGGCTAAATATGTGCTGTGACTTTAGTGGTGGTGGCAAGTGAAAAGTCACATTTCTGTAGGATGAGGGATGAGGGATCAATAGCATGTCACAAATAAAGAGTATCATCTGTCATCATGTGGGTCAAGGCAAGAGGAGCAGAGCTGTCTGAAGAGGTTTAAAGGACCAAAGAAATCCCCTCTATCTGTGTGCAGTGCTCTAAGAGATCTTGCAGCGATGAAGACAATAAACTTCAGATTCAAACATTCAATATGTTCAATATGCAGCACCACAAGACCCAAAGCCAAACTAGAATGGTACTCAGTAGATCACATAACTCAACGAAGGCCCAAGAGACCTCTTATGGCACCACATTTAAATCTGCAAGATCTGGATTTGGATCTGCAACAAATTGCACTCACTCATGGCTATCAGTTCCCTAAATGTGCCTGATTTCATTTAATCAAGATCAATACGTCCAAGATTCCCATGTCCCATCCCTCCACCAAGTTTGAAGGATAATCCATCCAGTAGTTTTTGCATAATCTTGCTAATAAACAAACAAACAAATGTACAGGGGTGAAGATGTAACCTCCTTGGCATCATTTATATATATGAAGAATAATAGGAGGAAATGGTGGATCGCTTCATATTGTATGTTTGGATGTTGGCTGCTGTCAGTGCACATAAAACCACAAAAATGTTAATGGAATTGCATTTATGTAATTCCATGAAGCATAATGGTAAGTGTGCGTTAGTAGGAGAGAGGAAAAACATTAATGTTTGTGTTGTCACCACATCCAAACCAGCCACAATAACACATTATCGACCAGCAGTTCACCAAGTTTGCTGATCCCCCCTCTCTGTTGCATAATTAAAGTGGGCCAACAAAAGCAGACTCATGTCCCAAGATTATATTACAGGGGACTTTGAGGACAGCCGTTGTCTGGATTTACAACTGACTAATAATGCATATCGATCAGCACAGCAGCGTTTTCACCATTTACCTACGTAAACAGCATCAGGCTAAATAGATCAACCCGATCGCACGTGACATCTGGAGGCAATGAGCACATCTCTTGAAAATAGGCCTGTCTCTCTTTCCCTTTCTTTTTTTTTTTAAACAACACCAACTGGACAGAGCCAGTTTATCCTGCGCTGCAAACATTACATCATCGAGGTAGAGCTGGGTATCACACTGCAAGACTTTTTTAATTCTGCCTGACCTGAGCCCACATTGGAAACTCTCAGGAACTGAAAGCTGATACCAACTCTGTAGGTAGTTTTTTCTAATTCATTCAATTTATACTGTATCTTATGTTTCTGTCCAGATAACACAATCTTCAGCTGTAGATGTTTGATTTACTAATTGTTAAATAGCAGAGAAGAGTTTTGGAGAACATGTGTTTATACTCGCCTTTCACAGACATTGGGGTACGTTTGCTGACGTGCGTCGACATGAAAACTTTTGTTTTACAGAAAAAACAATACAGAAAAGGTGTGCATTCATGTTTAAATTTAACATTAATAAATTAAGTTTATAAATTATACAAATTATATACATATGTGGTTGTGTTTTCTTTATATTTAGTTATTTACAATAAAGTCTAAGGGTAGACTGTCAAATATGAAGCTTCAATTACATTTCTTTGTCATAAGGGTTTGATAAGGACATTTTGTTAATCATTGTGTTTTTTTACATACATATGTTAGCCAGTATATTGGTATAGGACATATTTTACTTCCTAACATCAGTATCACCATCGGCCCTCAAAAAAACATATCGTGGGGCTCTCATAGAAACATGACAGAAAGAATTGTTTCAGTATTGCAACTCAGTATCAAGCATCATGTTGTAGACTGCTGTCCATACATTTTTAATGATGCCGAGCACAACAAAAGAACCCAAAACTAATCAGGCTAATAACAGAGTGAACATGTGTAATGCTGCTGATTAACCCAAACAAAACAGACAGTTATAGATGAGTCATGGGCTTTAACACCATGTATTAGTCAGTAGTTTAGTATAAGTAGTAGTATTAGTTGAACGTGGCAGGTAATTTAATAAGTCAATTATTAACTGTTAATATTAAAAACATGTGGGGGTAAAAAGAAACGGGTGAATCTAGTATTTTCAGCATCTCAGTGAAGTTGGCCTCATCTTGATCACCTCTCACTTTCAAAGCTCATCTAATGACACCTTCAGCCGCAGATCTCCTCAGGCCAGGCCAAGAATTATTAAAGCCCATCCGAAAATCAATCACCCACTGCTGATCAATTCCACAAGAACATTGACAAATGACAAAACCCCCCCCAAGTCCTCCTCTTCGGGCTTGCGCTGTAATTTATGTGAAATCTGTGCAATTTTAGACCTCTGCAAAGTCACTGTCTGACCTTCAGTTTGCAAGAGCAGGCGAGAAGAGTGATGGAGAGGAAGTTGGCCAACTTTCAACGAGTTCTCAACCCTGACGACACGATGGGTGGGAAACGGAGGATAACGAGGGGAGATGAGGCTCGGGAACGGTCTCCTGATCTGTGATGACTGCTGACTTCAATGGGAAGGAGGGAGAAGCCATGAAACAGGGTGAAAATGTCAGTGACGCATTATGGTTGCATGTTCAAATTTGGAGTTGGCTGGTGTACACCCCCCCCCCCCACCCCACCCCAACATACAGCATCCATGTTTCTTTGGAGGAGGTGTGTGTTAGTTGGGAGATGAGGAAGGAGAAGGAGGAGGAGGAGGAGGTCCTGGATGAGGATGATGGACCTGTAATTGTGATGATGTGTGGGTCTCCATCTCTAGCTAGCTCAGGCTACGTGCTCGTGTCTGACTGGTCCTCGGATGCAAATACTGCTGGTGGTGGTGGGGGGGGGGGTCACCGTGAATGAATGAACCCCCCCACCCCCTTATTATTTTTTTTCTCCTTATGACACAGTGGTTTCCTCTGTATGAGCTGTAGAGGTTGCGTGGACACAGAGAGGACAGATAAAGCTCAGTATGTCCTTACCACAGCCGCGGGGTGATGACCATGTCTTTACAGTTCTTCTTGGCGCAGGAAACAATTGAGGAGGTGGGGGTGGTGGGGGTGGGGGTTCTCCCTTCCTTTGGCCGGCCAGAGATTCCCCAGCTCCTCGTCACAGACAAGCGGCCTCCACGGGGACCCACACCCGCGTCTATCCGCCGCTTCTCACCGGAGACGATGGGCGCACGGAGGCTGGAACATGGTGGAGAGGGAGAAACAGAGAAGCGCCGCGCTGGTGTTTCCTTGAATGCGGAGCTGTGATGCTCGGCTCCGCTTCACTCCTCCTCCGCTCGCTCCTCCCTGCAGCAAGATCGGCTTTGAGCGGGAACTAATCACCGGAGTGGATCCGAGGCAGGCGGCCGGCGGAAGGTCGCAAAACGTGGAGACGGATGTGCAAAAGTCCTCGGACTCGGAGTGAACCAAGTGGTTACGCAGCGTCTTAAAGGGATAGTTTACCGAAAAATGAAAACCAACTCATTATCTACTCACCACTGGATGGAGGGGTGGGTGAAGTGTTCGAGTCCACAAAGCACTTTAGGAGTTTCAGGGGTGAACAGTGTTGCAGCCAAATCCAAGACAGTTGAGATGACTGGGGGGCTGATTCTTAAATGGCAGACTCAACTCCACGTCATCTAAACCATATTTTTAGCCTAAATGTCCTCTGATATTCTCCTCTCGCCCAAAGGCACGCGACGGGTGCAGTAGCATCGCTACTTCTGGTAGCGAACATTTGGGCTCACCGACTGATTGTTCAATGAATAAAACTTGGTCATTTTGACTGACTTACAAAATATAGAGTTTTTTCAATTACAGAAAACTGCAGAAATATTCTAAATTATAAAGCTGGTCCCGGTGACATTTTGGCAAGAACAAATTACTTATCATCAGTCAGTTGTTCAAAAATAATGTCAGTTTAGGGAGCTTCTGTTTCTTTCTTTAAACCTGATGCAGAAAATTGTGATTTGTGACAATGGATTTTACAAATCCAATTTGATTGACTGATGTTGAAATGGGGGGTTGATAATTAATATTTTTGCCCTGGGGTACTCTGGGAGTTTAACCTGACCATGAGAAGATCCCTAGAAATCTGCCTTTACCTCCAGGTATTGTGCTTATCAGACCGCCACTTGATATTCCTTATCAGGAAATATTATGGCACAGACTATGAAACCTCCAGTGATGAAGTCAGCCCTCCATACGTCACAGATTACATAAGGAGCTCTGAGGTCAAACATGGTGCAATGCTGCCACTGCAGGCGCACTACTTATGTTAGTGACTGTAGGAATGTGAATCTTTTCTGTAACAAAAATCATCACTAAGGTTTTTGCTGCTTTTATCTTTTCATTTATCTATGCCATGCATAACCATAGACTGTATAGTTGCCTGGCAACAGCTCTCACCAACGCATCCTTACAGTTAATGAGCTGCAAACATGCGCTCTGTCAGATCCCATGATGCAGAGACGACGTGGATGTGCACATTGATGCATTTGATGTGATGTTGTATCTTGTGATCAGTGGGACTGAATAAATATTTCCCACATAATTCAGTTATTGGTCATCCTGTAATTCAGTACAAAGCCTGTACAACATGATAAAATTACAACAAATGCTGCTTATATATCAATGCACCAGTCATGTATCCAACAAATAATAATTAACACCCATTAACATGATGAAAAGGGACATTCTACATAATAAGTACTTTAATTTTCTGCGCTCCAGAGCCCATACACACCTATAGTTCACCCAATCTTGTGTCGCTTCGTTTGATGTCCTCTCAAGACTGTGTGGACATAAGAGACAGTGTGATTTATTTAAAGTCCCTCATGATATTATCAGTTGTGTTTCCCTTTTTGGGTTAGAAACTTTGACAGTCTTATTCTTATAATGATATAGTGTTTGGTGAAACAAAAACATTGGCCTGTGTTAAGGTTAAAGAGAGTAAATTGAAATATATGTGTGGGTGGGTCAGGCCTTTAAATACATTTCGATAGTGAAAGTGACTTTTTATGCTCCAGTGGCATGTTATCTTGGAAACCTGTACAGTTTACGGAGAGAGGGTTTTATGTGTAAAAGTAACTTGAGAAGTCGCCTGTTGGCCAGTGGAGCAATAAACTCTTCTCATCTGTCTGTGCTCATCTAAAAAATGGTTGGATATCAGATTTCACGACTGGCTCTGAACTCTTGACATGCTCCAGTTTGAGCTTTTCCCTCCCCTGCCCCACAGCTCGTTGTTACCAGAATAGTTCGGTCACGACTGAGCGTTTCCGTGTTATGGCGTTCTAATGTAGGAGCGGAGGGGGAACTGCATGAATCCTGTGTGGGCAGGAATCAGTGAGAGTGAATGTGTGGGAAGGCAAAAGACAGAGCATGAATAACAGGTCTGTAAGTTTACTTTTGGTGACCGTACCTTTGCTGTTGTCTGCTCCTGCAGGATGACATAACACACACTGTGCTGTTAACGGCTCTGATGATAAAGAGATGAATAATTCCAGCCAGTGTCACTTCAATAAATTCACATTTGATATATCTTTTTTTTAATACCTGATAGGAAATAGGAAATAGGAAAAATAAAATATGTTACAATATCACAATGTGACATAAATCACACTGTTTATGATACATTTGTGGATATGCTTCCGTTTGGTAACATATGACATAAGATGATGTCATTGTGTTATTGGTGTTACATGTTACATGCGAATTATCCAATTTTATAAACAGGCACTAGGAAGAGAAAGATGAATCATTTTAAGGAGAGCAAAGCATAGAAACACCTTTAAATGGCTTTGGAAAAGGCCACTGCCATAATGACACTCAACGATAATGAAACACTCGGCAAGTGCTATAGGGGCAAGTTCATACTTAGATTAACTAAAGTGATTTGAGTAGTGGTTCTCATACTTTCTTTCTTTGAGGACCCCTTAGAAACTAGATCATGGACCCTCCCATTTGACAAAATCTTTGCTTTTCAATGTGTCAATACAGGATAGGTATGAAACTCAGGACCACAATACTCAAACATTATGTCAGTGTGTTACACAGCGATTAAATATATAGTGAAAAGAAATGATTCCCCTTTTTGACAGGGACTGGAAATAATTAAGGGATCTTAATTCAAAACAGATCAGTCATGTCTAGGGGACGGGTATTTATGTGTGTATAATTTGGTGTAGATTTGAAGAAAAATCTGGATGTAGTGAATTTCAAACTGCTCAGTGTGACTGAGTACTTCCTCCACCACAGCACTTTATTAGCACCTATCAACAAGATGTTTTGAATGAGTTGCTCATTGTTTCTCTGCTCTGACTCTGGTTGAGTGATACTGTCAGACATGTAGAGGTGGTAGTGGAAGTTTGACATTGCACAGTTTCACAACAGCTCCCACTGAAAGACGTGATGAAACCAGGTCAGCTGACTGATGACGTCAGAGGGAGTACCTCCACTCACAAGAAGCCGTACGTTAGTGAGTCACACAGTCCACAGTAGTGACCGAGGCTTTGGAGGACACATCGAAGAACTCAAACGTCCCAATAAGTCGTCCGAAGAGACTAAAGAAAAGGTAAGACCACAAACTTTTATTTGAAAGGCTTTTCTGTTTGTCTTCACCAGGTTTAGGGTTTTTAATGCGACTTAAATTCGTCTTTGCCGGTTTCGCTCATGTGCAACGTGGTCTGAAGCCGGCCGGTGTTTCCGGAGACTGTCCTCTCTCTTTTCATTTGATTAACTCAGCCTCGTTTTCACTTTAAACATCCGTTCATTTTATTCACATTACTTCATCATACTTTCTCTTTATAAGTCAACGTGTGTTTCCTCTTTTTACACCCAACATGATTTGCCTGTATAGAAAAGGCCCACTGTACATAATATGTATTCCTGTAAATCTTAATGGTAGAAACAAACATAAACAGTAATACTTAATAATGTTTCTTACTTTATTATGTATACATTTGAAAATCTACGTTACCTAAAACAGTTTGGTAACAATGCCAGATCCGTATTGGAGCGCCCCCCTGTGGCTGAAAGAGGAGACACTTTTTATAGTCTTACACAAGCAGGAATTTGATGAACGTAATCCTAAAATACTAGTTTTAATGGTTTATCAATGTGTGATCATTACTAATAAGTGCAATTGTCCCGTCTTTCTCTGAACAGACACCATGCCTGCAGACATTAACAAAGGCAAGAAGGCATTTGTCCAGAAGTGTGCCCAGTGCCATACTGTGGAGAATGGTGGAAAGCATAAGGTTGGACCCAACCTTTGGGGTCTGTTCGGACGCAAAACAGGCCAGGCAGAGGGCTACTCCTACACTGATGCCAACAAAAGCAAAGGTAAGTACTTGTATGTGTGAATTCAAGGTATTTCAAGCAGAAATTGTGCTGTTTGGCTAAAACATGTTTCTCTGCTGTGTCTATTCACTTTAATTCCAGGTATCATCTGGGATGAGGAGACCCTGATGATTTATTTGGAAAACCCCAAGAAATATATACCAGGAACAAAGATGATCTTCGCCGGCATCAAAAAGAAGAACGAGCGTACCGATCTCATAGCATATCTCAAGTCTGCAACCTCATAAAGAACTCTACTTGTTCAAACTGCTCAAGAGGCCAGGACTTGTCATTCTTTCAGAATCAGGGAGAGAAGCTAGCAGTCGGAGAGGTGTTGGCACTCGTAGCCAATCTTTGTCACCATTGTACCTCTGTTTCTGATGATGATCCTCCACTGAGGTGGAACAAACTATATCCCCTGGTTTTAACAGGTTATTTTTCTAACATAAATTATCAAACCATATACTGTTGTATTCTGAATGTAGGGACTGAACAATGTGTATTATGTTTGCTGATTGACTGTCATCTAGTTGTACTGAGGTTGTCTCAATATTTGTTCCAAGAATAATTATGCCTGATTGTTTTGGATTTCCTCTACAGTCTTTTATTGTGTCCACTTTGAATTTTCAAATTGAATAAAAGTAAGACAAAACATTTGTTGGAATGTGTTTGAGAGGTTATGTCCCTAAAAGTCAATATATAACTGTGTCAGACTAAATGTATGCTTTGGGGGACAATGGCAGGCTTTAATGCATCCAGCCCTCTCCTTTTTTTTTTTTTACTATGTTTAGATAATGTAGCAAATTTGTGATCAAGTTGGTGCTATGTGACACATGCAAGACTGAGCAACACTGGAATACTTCTGGTATGACTAGCTACTGCTTTAGTAGGTATCATGTGACATACAAGCATCTGGTCCTTTTTCAGAGGAGAGTTTTATCTCCCTTCTACAGTGGCCAAAAGAGCTCAACACATTGTAAATTAAGAAAACACATGCAAATTTAGCTGAAAACACTGGAAATGTTTCCAGGGCACCGAAAAAGTAATGACCCTGGCTGTAGTCCAGTGCTTTGTAAAGTTTCATCACCACTGACGGGTAGCACACTTCAACAACATCACAAAGCATTGAACAAAAGCTAGGTTCATCACTTTTTAGGGGTCCCCTGGAAACACTTCTGGTGTTTCTGTATTTGCATGTGTTTTCTTAATCTGCAGTGTGTTGAGCTCTATCGGCCACCGTACCCTTTAAATGGAGCACGTTGAAGTCTTAGTAGCTCTTTTTAAAAACGTGTTTGATGTTGGAAAATGTCACAAATGCTGCATATTTTTATAGGATGTTGTACTTTAAGGTTGTGTGGCCTCAATCAAAGTTAGAGCAGGTAATGCTTGATGCTGATTGTGACAGTTTGTGTGATCAAGCTGATAAAAGACGGTATGGATTTGTCATGAGCTGCTTACCCTAAATATCACAAGCTCTATCATAGGTGAGTAACAATGACTGCAGAGTTGAGCAGAGCATCTATATTTCTATTCCAAGTGGTGGAGTATTGCTCCCTCTAGCGTTCAGATACCGCACATGCACATATTCACTAATCGCATCCAAAGGAATTTGATTTTCTGAAGTCCTCCCTCCGCCAACAACCGTCTCTTTTACACAACTAGACAACACAGACCTCTGCAGATTTCCACGTTTCCTCCAAAGTTGCACTGGGATGTGAGATAAATGCAATGTCGGCTTGTATCAATCTATTATTGATGGTGTGAAACGCAGTTTAGGCGACAGTCGCTCACTTTGATTACACTTGTCAGCTCTGCAGCACCGTCACCAAAGCCCTCATAGGAATCCATTATGTTGACGACACAAGCATATTGTCATACAATTATAATGCAGCCACCTTGGATCTTAAGTTCTTATGAAGCTTATACATTTTGAATACCAGTGGATTATTGCTGAGTGTAATAATAATCAAATAGCAAACACACCCACCACTGTAATACACTATTGTGAAGTTTATTCTACATTATACATGTGATATTGGGCATGGTGAGAAGATCATCATCATCACCTTCATCACACTCGGAGCGCCTCTCTGAGGAGGCCAAACGGTTCAGATGGCCACAGGCTGATGCTGAGGCAAGCCTGAGCTCCTGTGTGTGTGACGAGGCGAGCGTCAGCGGGATAGAGCCAACCACAGCCAGCGTCATTTGCGCACAAGAAGACCCCAACGACAGTGATGCTCGGTAATGGCTCTGTGTTGGATTTTTTTTTCTCATTTGCAATACAAGAGCATGAATTTGCTTCCATGTTGTTGTTTTTTTTAAGTAAATGGGATTTGACTGGTTTAAATTAAGCGCGCGGTGTGGAGATGCTGTGGAGGGCTGCGCTGCTGGTGCGCAAAGAGATTCTCCGTCCTTCTCCCCACAGAGTGGAAACTGGATATGCAGCCGGAGCTCCGGGGGTGTTCCCAGTGTCTGCGTCTTGGAAGTTGTGGCATTCAAACAGTTTCCACTTTAACCCTCAGTAAAAGCCTCATAGATGCGATTTCTCTGCGCGCCTTCGTGGGTTTGGTTCACTGAGAGCCACCAGAAGAAGAGACATGGCAGTGGCGAATATGGTGTTCTCTGACGTGGAAAGTTTCTTGGACTCGCATCCCGAGTTATTCGAGGACTACCTGAACAGAAAGGGGAATTATAGCATGGTGGAGAAATGGCTCAAGAACCACCACCAGGCGAGCAAAAGTCCGGTGGCGGCTGCGGCTCCTGGCGCCGAGACGAGGGAGGAGAAGAGCGTCACGGGTAAGGACAGCAGCTGGGCGAGCAAATGCGACGGGCTGCAGCGGAGAGCCTCGCAGAGGGAGCTGCGCAAAACTTTCGCCAGGTCCAAGGCCATCAACGTGAACAGGACATATGACGAGCACGTCAACTCCAGGGCCCAGGAGCCGCTGACGAGCATGAGGAGAAGGGCTCTGCTGAGGAAGGCGAGCTCCTTGCCCCCGACCACTGCGCACATCCTGAGCGCACTGCTGGAGTCCAGAGTCAACATCCCCCAGTACCCGTCCACAGCCGTGGATTTCAAATATTACCTCAAAGAACACAACGAGAGGGAGTTTTTCCTGGAGCTTGTAAAAGACATATCCAACGATCTGGATCTAACGAGCCTCAGCTACAAAATCCTCGTGTTTGTTTGTATTATGGTGGAGGCGGACCGGTGCTCCTTGTTCTTAGTGGAGGGGACCGGCAACAAGAAGACACTTGTGTCCAAATTCTTTGACGTGCACGCAGGAACCACAGTTTTACCCTCGATGAATTCTGACGAAGTTCAGGTTCCTTGGGGGAAAGGGATCATTGGATACGTGGCCGAGCACGGAGATACCGTGAACATCCCTGACGCTTATCAGGTGCCCGCTACTCCTCGTGTGTGCGTGTGCGTGCGTGTTTGTGCAATTCGCATGAGTCACAGAAAGACAGAGACAGATCAAGTCTGGTTGTATCTGTCACAGTCAGTCATCAGTCAAACTGTGCAACATGAGCTGATGCATGGGAATCAACCCCAACAGTCAGAACTACAGGTTCACACAAATCATCACTGACACAGGCCATAATAATAATAATAATAATAATAATAATAATAATAATAACAACTTTATTAATGTAGCATCTTTAAAAAGAACCATCATTAAGTGGAGGGGAAAAAAAGTAATAAAATAAATAAAAGTAATGACAAATAAAAGCATAAACAATATATGTTATGGCAAAAAACAGTGATAGTTTCAAGTAGGAGTTCCTCAGGGAAACTATTTTAGAAGGTTCAGGCCTTGTGTGATTCTCTTGAAGTTTTTATACTTCCACTGTGTTTGTCTTGAGTTTTAAAAAGTAATACTGGATTCCATTTAAGTCAGCAGATCTGTTATTTGCTGTTTAGACAATTACAGAACAAATAAAAATTATGGTTGCTTTACTGTCCAAACACATCAGCAGCTGCATCAGCCGCACTTCAAGTCTGACACTTTGACACAGGCAACACTTTGTAGAACAATCCTCAAACATGTTGTTGGACTGTTTTCAATAAGACTTTGTGTCAATTTAACTGCATCTGACATCTGAAAATAAAAAAGGGAAATCCTAACATTTTGCAATCTGTTTCACGCCGTACCTGTGGATTGTTGCAGGATCGTCGGTTCAGTGATGAAATCGACAAGCTGACAGGCTACAAAACCAAGTCGCTCCTCTGCATGCCCATTCACAACAGCGACGGAGAGATCATTGGAGTTGCTCAGGCCATCAACAAGAACTCAAATGGAGAACTCTTCAATGAAGATGATGAAAAGGTAATTTCTTCATCATTATGGCTGTGAGTGAAAACAATGGAGAAATATGTATCCTGCTACCTGCTTGGCCTATATACAGGATTATGACATGCGTTATCCTCCCGGTCCTTGTGCATTAGTCAAAATGTTCTCCTCACATGTAAAAGTTAACGTCCATCTTCTCAAAACCCCTCAGAGGCTTTGTATGTCTGAATCAATCAGCTTTATCATTTTCTAAAGAGCCACTAAATGGATTGTTAATGACACTGGCTTGGTAATGTAGCTCAACAGTTGCTGTTTTGTGTTTAGCTATTCAAATAAATGAATGACACTAGAATGGCACTCAGTAGAGAGTCCCCTCATGAAACCACATTTACAGTGAGTAAATTCAGATTTTTGTTTGGATATGCACCAAACTGCACAGGATCACAAACATCAGTCCCCTTAACAAGAGTTTTTTTTCCCATCAAGATTCATGAGTTAAAAATGTTGTAAAACACTGAATCTCAAATTGTTTTAACATTTCCTTTTTCTAAACCTACAGTGTATCTCACAATTTCTCACAAATGTATATAGATTCCTTCCCCACCCATACCCCATCCTCCAACCAAGTTTCATGGTAATCTATCCAGTAATATTTTCGTAATCCTGCTAACTAACAGACAAACAAATGAACGCAGACAAAACATAACCCCTTAGCGGAGGTAGAGTCCCATGTTTACAGTATAATTAAATGGGATAGCAAATGAGAAAAGAAGATGATTGTATTTGGACTTTGTATCAAACTTCTTTAAACACAAATAACCATATTTCCACTTAGTTCAATGACAAAATGGTAATTTGGTTACAGCTTTTAGCCTCATACAGCAGGGGTATAGGGATAGCAAAGTTGGTGACATGTGAAATAAACCTGCCTTGTTGATTAGCTCAAAATCTGGTTCCCTGACATTCACCTTGGTGACAGCCTGACTTTTCCTCTGGCACCACCATTAGGTTAATGTGAAGTTTTAGACTACTAGGTGGTTAATTAGTGACATTTCCATCTGCATGAATAGCAAATGAATTCCAAATCTTAATACACCAAACTAAGACAGTGAACATACATACCTGCTAACCATCAGCATGTAAGAAATATCATTGCAAGCATGTTGTTATGCTGACATTCACACTATAGGTGCAGCTTTGCAGAGTTGCTAGCGTGGCTTCAGACCCTTGTAGTCTTGTTATTGTTGCAGCACAGAGAAGTGAAGAGCAGAGGTAGTAAATGCTCAGTATCTTAGTGATTAGTTTTTTTTAAAGGGAAAACATTTTCAGTGTTGGTGCACAAGTGTGTAAGAGCTGTCATATTTCATTGCTGCCCCGGTTCTTACACTCACATATTTTGTTAAACGTCATGGTTAATGATTCAACGGCTTATTGATTGGCATTACTTAAGTGTGTATTTATTTATGTACATTCAATATAGCAGCCCAGTTGGCACACTTTTTTCCCCTGAAAACTGAAAATGTTCAACATCACAGTCAGAAAAATATGAAACCAGTTTTGTTGAGTGTCTTTAAGGAGATGGTTCTGGATATGTTGGTTGTTGATTAATTTGATTCCATTCAGATTTTATGTGTTGGTAACAATATTCTGCGACAACACAGAATATAATGAAACACAATGAAAAAACAATGGCCACTTTTGAACAGATAAGCACCATTACCTGGGATGATATCCACATCACATATGTCCTCAGGGTTTGGATTTAGCTCCTGCTCTGCAGTCACATCTGTCTTTACCTCTTACATCCTCTTTTTTTCCAAAAGGAATATTTCACAAACATCTTATAGAGTTATCTGACAGTTTTATTCTTTCCCAGTTTCTTTGTCCTGTCTGAATGTAACTAGTATTTTATATTGAAAAAATTCACTCACATATTTGCCCTTAAACACAGTCTCTGTGCTCAGATTCTTGCTGGATCATAGGCTGTCTCTCAGCATCATTCAGTTTTCTGAAGGCTGTATCTTCCAAAGGGCAAAGGCCCTGATGTGATACCACTAAGAATAACAACTTTGTATAGTTTATTATACCACTCCATTATGTCACATCTTGAAATTATCCAGCCATCTGTTTCTTAATGATTAAATAATGATTTATTTGAATTATTAATATCATCACAAATACACACAGAGCATGCGTTTGTCCATCACCACATTTTAAATATATGTAGCAGAATGGCTGTGACAAGCACATGCACTGACTTGTTCTGTTATTGCAGCTACGAGCCCCGAAGGGTAGAAAAGATGGAACATGAAAGCACAAATCTTGCTGTGCCTTTATTTTATAGTTACGTTTCCACTGAAGCAAACGGCTACAGTTTTTTTTAATCCATCATATGTTTTTTTCTTTCTCCATTGGACCTCTACTGTCAGAATTACATCCCTAGATTCCATCCATTGTTCATAGCAAATGCAGATAAGGAATTCCTCTTTCTTTCCCTTGTTTTGAGTATGTTTCACATTGCATTAACATCACACTAATGCGTGAGATGGCTACAGCTGAATTAGTAATGAAATGCAATGCTAGCATCACAGTGAGCTCCCAGCGCAGCACAGCTGCAGCTCTGCTTTTATGGGGAATGTAATGTAATAGGAAAATTTATCAGAATTTTAAAAGCATTAAATGATGCTGCAACAGCAGAAGTCATTAGAGACTTTAGTGTATCTTTATTAAAATAAATGCTGTTCGCCATATACTGAAAGCTTACAGGATATTTAAGCACATTATAGGGCTGGTTTTATACCCACACTGCCTTAATTGTGTGAACCCTGCAGTATTGCAATCTGATGGGGGGCTTGGATAATGGTTCAGCCCAGGCATAATTGCACCGTCTCATTATCTTCTATGGAGGAATATACTGATTGACTTAATTTAAGTGTATAAGCTGACCTCTCCCTGCTGTTTCTATATCTAGCAGTGTTATCTTGCTTCAACTGGTCTTTCACTTTGCACGCCTTTTATCATTTAACATGTAAAATGTAGAATTCACAGGTTGGCATTTTCATAAATTTCCCTTTAATAAGATGAAAGTTGCACCATGTTGGTTCCATCTGCCAAACCAGTTTAACATCTGTGTGAGTTGATTGGCAAATAGCACTCTCCCCTCACCGCTGTGCTCCCTCTGGCTGCCAGACTCCCTGTCAAATTGGCTAGAGGCAAATCTGTGATAACCACTTTCACACAATTTCCTGATGTAAATCTAAAGCTAAAGAAGAGAGAACACAATTTCTTATGATATTACATGTGTTTGATGCATTTCTGCACAGCCATAAAAAGTGAAAAAAAGTTTAAAAACCCGAAAAGAAATGACTTAGAGAAACAGAACAATATTTGCAATTTGAGGCCTGTATGTGAATAGATTATTCATGACATTGCATAGTACTGTATATTCATGTTGGTGATGGCAACTATGAAATCTTGCTGTGTGAAAGCTCTGAGGCGACAAGGTGGATGAGATATTATACAGCGGGGGTCCCAAACAATAAAGGCAGACAGAGCTGCCTGGCTTCTCAGAGAGGAACGGATAGAGCCTTAGGGTTATAGTGACTTCTGAGTCTGGACTTCAATACTGACTTCTTATTGGGTTTTCTGTTTTTAACATAGCCCTGCCACAGTTGTTTTTTGTTTGCAAATTAGTAAGAGAAAAAACATATGTGGACCTAGAACTGTGCCTTGGGGGATGCCAGATTAGGACATTGTAGTCTTTGTGAAATTGTGACATTGAGTGGACAGCTCTCAAAACAAGTATTTTTGTGTTGTTTTTTTGAATCAAGGAAGTGTGTGTCTAACTGTGCAACTGCATGTTAACCAATTCATTTAGGAAGTGCAAAACATGAACACACACACACACACAAATAAAAATATATTTTTTACATGATTCATACCAATGTAGCTCAATACCATTGAGTCCCCGCCCTTTTCTCTGGATCAAAGCCTGATCAATACATTGCATCTTGTTCAGTCTGTGGGCAGATATAGGTAGGCGGCTGTAATTGAAGAAAATACAGAATATGTTTTATATGCAGTATGTTTTACTGGTGCATTTGCTTTTAAATTGAATAAACAGGCTTACAGGTGGATGGGTGAACAGACAGGCAAGATGACGGGAACAGAAAACAGTATGCAACATGCACAAGCAGGTAGCAGAGAAGGGTGGAAACAGGTGAGAGAATGGGCGAATCAAAGGAGGATGGGAACAGGAAGGAAGGAAGGACTGAGACACCTGATGGGTGAAAGGAGCATGGCAGGTCTGAGGAGCTGAGAGGAGGATCATGGTCTAGGTACCATGAGCACAGGCTGGAGAAGCAGTTTCAACAAGTTACCTGTTTAGTAATTAAAGTAAACAAGTATTTCATGTAGTTTTCAAATTACATTTTTAATTTATATTTCAAATGAATAATAATAATAACCAGAGTTTTTTTTTTTAGAACTGAACATTGCCCTGTGGTGCTTTGCCACACTGCATTGTTATTTTACAGTCAATAACTGCAGTTTAGATAACGAGTAAGCTGAAAGACATGATTGTTGTAGATCACCAATTATATCAGTTTACACAGAAAGGATATATTTCTTTTTAGGTTTTGTGCAGACTGTTTTACAAAGTACAAGAAAACCTCAAAAGAGATGCTGTAGTTGGAAAAGTCTCATTAACCCAGTACAAAAGTTTTCTTATTGGCCACACGAAGATTGACCTGAGGAGCCATAAACCTTTACAAAACTTGACCAATGTTACTGCACTGATGCAACATCTGCTGTTCAGTTATTGTGACCTCTCCTTTGCTCCTAGATTTATTTTCATGTACCTGCATACATGTATAGAACTATTTTATTTAATAGAGCAGCACTGCTGGTGTTGTAAAGTGTTTATTTGATGTGTTGTAAAAATGCCCATAGGTATCATCCACTTTGGTTTTATAAAATAAGGGGTTGTAAATCATTAATTTCCATCATGATCATGGACCCTAGATTATGATGGTGGATCGAGAATCAGAGAGCGTGATGGCAGATCATGGATCATGATGGTGGATCATGATGCTGGATTGTGGAGGCATCTGATTGTGGTGTTTTTTTGGTAGTTTTTTCCCTTACTCTTGTTGAGGGTGAAGAACAAAGGATGTCGCACCTTGTTAAACCCTATGAGATTATATACCCTATTGTGATTTCTGAATATGGGCTATACAAATAAAATGTGATTGATTGACTAATGTTATTCATGTTGCTTATATGTAGATATTCATGTTCTGAAAATAAAACAGAGACTTCATTTTTGTGAAATTTACTGAGGTGTGTATTCCTGTTGCATTAATATTTGATGTTACCTTCAAAAGAAGCAATCATTGTGTGGAGGTGAAGGGGCTGGGAGAGCACCTTCACCTGCACCACAGAGGATCAGTCAGCACAGGTGAGAGCTGTTAGCTGATTGATCCTCATGCTTGAAAAGGCAGCAGCAGAGCTGCCTCAGAGAAGCTCACACTGTTGCTGAGCGCCCAATGGTTGGACTGGTTTGTCTCTGGCTGGCGTGGTGGGAACCCCGTGGCATGGTCTACTGCCACACATTGCTTAGTGGATTTGTAAAACTGCTGTTTGCTTTGCTGACACAAGCGGGGGTCCACATGAGATTGGAGAAAATGGAGAGCTTTTTATTTTTTTCCCGTGAACAATTCTTGGCAAAGCAACAATGGCTTCATCTTACCCCATGTGCAAAGTGAGCACAGCTTTTTAAATCAACTGGCAGTTGTAGTTTGCAGGAGTAAGTGGACAAGGGAAGTGTTGGCTTTGCAATTTATCTGGATTGCCTCATGAAATTCCGGTTGTGCCAAAGGAAGTTGTTGAAGTTACAGGAGCTGCATGAGCTTAATGCCTCGGTCAGTTTCTTTGGTTATTAAACCACTCTTTACTGGTCAGTCCACAGGCAAAAACGTCTTGTTTGTAATGCAACCTTGTATAAGTGCCTGGCTGACAGAATGTAATTAGAGGAAGCAGTGCTTTTCTCGGGTTTGCCTGTTAGTTCTGCGGGCAGATCCATAGCCAGATCCCCAAAGTCCAGCTCGCTAATGAATCTGCTCCTGCTGGGGCTATTGATGGCCACTGCCTTTCTGGAAGATCATTATTAGACAATTCCAAAGGACAGCTGAAATGGCATTATGTCAGAGCTAATCACTCCGCGTCATCTGTTTTCTGTGTCTGAAAACAATTGCAGAAGGCACTTGATTATGTATGATGACTGAATTAAGTGCTTCAATTTGATTAACTCATTAGCTAGACTCATATTTCTTATGTTATAATTAGAAAGGATTTTGATTTAGTGATTTAATTTGTGCTGAGCTTTATTCTACAGTGTCACAATATGCACATCAGTGTGTCATGTTAGAGCAGAGGTATTCTATTGAATTTATTTTTGACATAAGCACAATACTATCTTTTCCTTATCCATAGTTAGAATCATTCAGGATAAAAACACAAAAAGCAACATGGGTAACTTCATTGTGGTGCTTTAAAAAAACAACGAAACAAAACTATAAAACCAGTTAAACACATGTTCATTCAACAAAAGAATAACAGATGTGATGTTTTCCTCTCATTATAAGATCTGCTTTGCACATTACTGAGGGTTTGGAGCAGGATTTATATCTCATCATGTATTTTTCCTTATCCACGATTACATTTATAACTTCCTGCATTGCTTTGCTCCAACAATTCATTCTTGCTGTAGCCAACATGATATTTAAATTCAGATAGTGCCACCACCGTGGAAATATAGAGTGATAAATTAAATCCATGTCACTAACCCAGGAGATATGTTTGATTCTAAAGAGAAACTGTGGCAATTAGAGCCAAGGCTTCACAGCCTTTTTATGTCTGCGATGCCATTTTAGGTCTGCCGTGATCGTGAACCCAGCAATTAGAGTTGAAAGGTTGACGTGGATTTATTAATCAACCGTGAGAGCACAGAGTAAGCTCCACATGTATGATACCTAAATACTAATACATGTTTTGTATTTACTTTTACTCAAGTATATGACACAAATATAAGTAACCTATATTGGTGTATGGGTTTCTGCAGGTTTCAACTAGTTAAATTAAGAACTTTTAAGACCTCAATGAATGAAATGTAGGAATTATTTCAAGTATGACAGATAGGAAGGAATATCTGATTACCAGAATAACTTGCCCATTGATTGAAGGTGCGTTTACTGCGAAAAATTCTTGTTAGTAGTTTAATCGCGGCAGGCTAATATTTGTACTTCTACGAAAGACCTATGATACATGGAGACATAACAAACTATGCATGCTGCCAAAACAGTGTTGAATGAAAATTAAAATAAGTTTGACTTTCTTATTAAATTGTAGACCTTTTTCTGACCCAGTGGAAACCCTGTATTAATTTCCTTCAACTGTATTTATTCGAAATCCTCATGTTGGTCTAGAACTCAAGGCTGTGATCCCGTGGACTAGGTAAAAATATTTTCTGAGTAGGTCAGAGGTACACACTTCACATTTTCATCAGAGTGTGATTTGTGACCGATGAGTAACTGATACATTATCTTTTCTGAAAGGTGAAAAGAGATATCCCCGTATCAGCAGCCACAGCTGAGTAACTTCCCATTCATTTATTGTCGTAGTGTCCCTACCCTCAGGTCGCACTGAGGGCTGGTAAATATTAGTGGGTTTGTTGCACTGATTGTATTGTTTACACAGCAGCACAGATGCTAAATATAGATCCAAACAAAGAGGCAGAGTAAGGAAGCACACAACCCTAAATCCCATTGATTCCATGTTACTGGGCCACATTGTGGAGTAATTGCAGTTGTGTAGAATTCAACCTGTGTATTGAATGCACTGAAACCACCTCTCTGCGTCTTCTGCAGAAGTGCGTGCATATTCTTGTTCACTATGCAGCAACAGTGCTGAGGAAAAAAAGAAATGTAGTTTGATTCCAAACAAGTGAGATGCTGATTCGATTTCAGGACACATTAACTATAGTCATTAGGCCACATCAAGTGATTACATTATTTATGTGAAGAAAATATGAGTGAAAAAAACGTATTTATGTAATCAGCCCAAGGCGTAAGTGAGTATGACTATTCAGTCAAATTGTAAAATGCCAGTTAGATTGATTTATTTGTCCTAGCGAGTAATGATGCCAATGAAAGGCCATTTCTTATTTGTCCCAGTTGAAAAGCTTAAGTTTTCTCGGATGCAAATATAACTCACTTTCTGATTTTGTTTTTCCTTCTAACAGCTTTAATTATATTGACGGTTTAAAAATAAAACATCACAACAACTTTTTTTGCAAAGGAAAACGATGACAACATTCACAGCAGGTGGATCATAGTTTGTTTGTTCTTGTGAAATCTCAGAATTGTCTTGAGGGAATTCCTTCAAATTTGGCAGAAATGTTACAGGAGGTACTGATTCAGTTTTGGATGACCTCATTGGGTATGTTTACAAGGACGGTAGTCAATAAAATATTTCATATTCCTTCTTATTCTTTAAAGCATAGTCTGATTAAGACGTCAAGCAGTTGTCGCTTGTCACAAAATTATGTGAAACCTGTGAACTGGAATATGAATGGGATTGTCTATTAGCAACTAATGTAAACATAATCTGAGTAATATCTTATCCTGAATAAGGCCAATAGTCAAAATACCGGAGTCCATGTAAACTTCATCACTGTCTATCTTAGTAATGACAGTGTTCAATATGTTTACAGGTGCTGCAGATGTACCTGCCATTTTGTGGTATCGCAATCTCCAATGCTCAACTCTTCGCAGCCTCAAGGAAGGAGTATGACAGGAGTCGGGTAAGCCCACGAACAAGCCTATCCCCCCACAGACCCATCCCCGGGCCCTGGGATCATTACTTCCTCCCCCTGACGCTGCCATTGCGGCTGAGTATTGATCAGCTTCAGCCCTCTTGGTTTTGCGGAGCAGCCCAACATGGACATTTTCTCTGGATGTGTAGTGGAGGGGGATGGGCCTGTATCCAGATAAGGGTCTAGGACACCATATGATTTTTATGTGTTTTAAATTGTATTGGCACTGCCCTAGGTATAGGACCCAATTTACTTTTATTGTAATAATAATAATTTATTATAATAATAACAATAATGAAATAATAGCCAAGCAAGACAGAGTTTTATTTAAAATGTCCCCATTACAACTTGCAGACAGACATCTTATTTAGTCGATTTACAACAGAATAATGCCAAGGGGAATGTTTTGCTGTTGCTTGTGTTCAGGCACTCTTGGAGGTTGTCAATGACTTGTTTGAAGAGCAGACTGACCTGGAGAAGATTGTCAGGAAGATCATGCACCGTGCCCAGACCTTGCTTAAGTGCGAGCGCTGCTCTGTTCAATTGCTGGAGGATATTGAGTCACCGGTACTGTTTGTATCTCTGCTGTCCAATTGTGTATATCCATCTGTCTCAACATTTGTGCATGGGCATTTCTGTGCTTTCCCAAGATCTTTAGTAAATCCTTCTGTTTGAAATTTCTCAGGTGGTAAAGTTCACCAAGTCATTTGAGCTGCTGTCTCCTAAGTGCAGTGCAGACACTGAAAACAGGTATGTATGGTGTAATATCTGCCCTGATGGAACCTTCGTACTAAATTAGCATGCCTTCACCTTTGTTTGCTTTTGGGACCACAGCACCTGTAAATTCTGCTCATAGCTTTGTCTGAATCTGTAAAGCCTCCATCAAGGAGAAAAAGTAAGGGAGGTATAAAAATTGAATATTCTGTAGTGTTGTGGGAGTAAGATGCTGATTCTGAATAGAAGGCATACTGTAGGAGCCCTAATTAATTGGGTTTTCGCTGCTTCTCTCCTCTGCAAGGCATGGCTGAGTGGAGGAAGAGAGGCTTAATATTGTGTGGGATGTTTATGGATGAAAACCAAATGCTGAAAGGACGACAAATTATCCCCCAAGCCCTGCACTTGCCATATCTGATGGTCACTTTGAGTCAGAAGTGATGGCCACAACAGCAATCATACGACAGAAATCGTAAGAGATGAGTGGTAGTCAAGGAAATGTCAAGTTTGCTTGACCGGCCAATTTAGTCCGACTGGCTAAACACGCTCCCTAGTGTTCTGTGTTTCTGGTGACACATAATTAAATAAACAGACAGTTTGTGATTTCAAGTGATAGAATACACAGCACTTCAAATCCAGCTGAAATGAAAAAAAGCAAAGCGTCTCTGCGATGACCCCAGTTTTCTGAAAGGTTCAGATCTGAATAACAAAAGCGGCTGTGCAGGATTCATGTGTGTAATTAGGTGAATGAATATGGTGTCAAAAGGCGAGCAGCGAACTGTAGGTTTTTCTAATGTGCCTCACAATCCCCAGCCGCCCCCCACCCTGGGCAGGATAATGTTGAGCGAGTGTAATGTGCTGCTCGTGTGTCTGTGGTAGCTAAATGACTCGAGAATGAAGAGAGGAGGAAAGAAAGACAGGAAAAAAAGGAAGGGTGAGGTATCTTGCCATCTCACTCATGAGGTTCATTCACTGTGGGTTTCAGATTCACAGCTGCGTCACTAGATCAAAAGGATTCAAAAGATCTGACATCAGCGTCTCACCATGTTTATTCTAATGAGCCGCACTGAACATTTACCATGTTGTGTTTGAAGGTATGAAGTCAGTGACAGTCTGCTGCAATACATGTAAATAGGAAGCCTGAGCAGGGCTGCAGGTGTTTCTGTGGCAGAGTGTGGGGGCGTCTGGCAATGAGGAAGACAATCACACAATTAACTTTTCATTACTTCATAAGCTGCAGGAGAAGCTCACTGATATCTACTGTAGGAGAACTTCATTAACTGCAAGTCGACGTAAAGAAAGAGGGTCCACAAGAGGGAATAACAGAGGCCTTCTGCAAGCTTGCAGTTTAGACGTGAAAGAGAATAAGCTTTTTTTACTTGAAAGCAATAAAACGGAGTTCTTTATTTTCATGATAATAAAGTTATCAACGAAAGGAGTGTGTTGGAGAAATATTTTAACCTCTTCTCTCTTTTAACATTTGGTTTAACACTGTTTCCCCTTTTTCTCTTTGTCGTGTCATCTTTCCCTCTTATTCTCTTACCCCAGTTTTAAAGACAGTATGGAGAAATCCTCTTACTCAGACTGGCTCATCAACAACAGCATTGCGGAGCTGGTTGCCTCCACAGGACTCCCTGTGAACATTAGCGACGCCTATCAGGATCCTCGCTTTGATGCTGAGGTGAACACGCACGGATGCTCTTTTTAGAGTGGACGTCAAAGGGATTTTATCAGAGTACAAGTCACAGTTATACATTTATTATTTATATCTTTGAGTATGACATCATAACTAGACACACTGCTGGGTGATGCAGACATTTGTTTAGTTTCACTGGCTGATGTGGTACTTTTAATAGTAGTTAGTCCACGATCAGCTGCCACCACCACAATCTGACCATGATCCACAATCCACCACCACTATCAGGATTCACCATCATGATCCACTATCAGCTGCCAACACAATGGCGATCCATGATCCATCATCATGATCTCTGATTCGCGATTCACCATCATGATCTGCAGTCCATGATCACAGTCTTCAATCCACCATCATGATCCACTTTGTGGCCGCAGCAGCTATCTTGCTGATATACATGCTAAACCAATCACAAGTCTATATCTGCTGTCAAATAATGACGGTTTACCCCTTGTTGATGGCCTCAAATAACTTATTAAAACCTAACACAGAAAATTTGCACTTGAATAAATAACAGTTTGTTAAGAACTACCTAAAAATACAAACTGACTAAAATGTAATTTCCCACATGGCTGTTCATCGATCTCTGTAGGGTACAGACCCTCTCAGACCAGGAAACGATAACCACAGCACCCGTTGCTGATGCTGCATAGATCTAAACAGAATCCCACAGCTGGATGCAGAGCACTCCGCTCCGCATCCAGCTGCAAGCAGCAAAGCTTTGACATGGTCAACCTGAAGTAGGAGTGGCAGAAATATAGAAAATGTCTACTCACTTATGACACTACCATTACCACCTGGGCTGAGTGGAAGGGCAAACAGCTGGCTCTCACTGAAATAAATATATGTGGAAACTTTCAGCTTTCTGCTTTGAAAGGGCTTTGAGGGTACTTACTGCACATTTCATCCTACTGTTCCTATATTTCCATGTAGCACTTCTCCTCCATTAGAGGCGAGGCATGTATGCATAGTTAATACTCCAGTGGGGAAAATATAATTTGATACTAGAAAGAAGGATATTGTTTTAAATCTTTCACTGCGTGCCAACGCACGTCTTGGGTTTATCAACAGGTAGAGGTAGCAGTACCCTACTTTAAGGAATATGAACATATTTTGAATGTACAGTACGTCACAAGTGTTTTAATTTTAATGCTGTATCAAAGAAAAGGAATTGGAAGCAGTTTCCTCTAAATATAAATAAAAAGTGACAATTTGACTTTATTGGGAAAATAGCAGTTTGAAAACAAGTAAACTATTAGAATTATTTTATGATTAATTAATTTAACCACTAATCACCTTGATTAATTCATTAATTGGTCTACTAAAAGGGGAGGTTTTCAAATAGCTTTTTGAGTGATTATGGAGACATATTTATTGAGGTTCGATGCTCTTTCTCAGTATAATGTTCATGGAAATGTGTTTTTTATGTGGATAGTTGTAAATTTTTATACTATCACTGTATTTACACTCTTTATTTTTAGGCAGACCAGTTCTCGGACTTCCACATCCGCTCTGTGCTTTGTGTTCCGATATGGAACAGCAATCACCAAATCATTGGTAAGTTAACAAACAGTGCTTCCTTCTTTGCTGAGCTTATTTGATATATGAATACAACAATAGATATTTATGTTTGTATGAGGAGATTCGATTTGCAGAAGTCTAAAACACTTCAGGGCCAAAGAATGTGGCTAAGTACAGCCACAGGGATTTGTTTTCATTTGAAGTCACAATAGCATTAGTGATGTTGTCACTGTTTGCAAGGCTCAGAGTTGGCCCTCTAGCTCTTATCAAAGGTGTCAGATGGTGCTGAGGTCAGGGCTGTGTGTGGGCCACTACAGTTCTTCCACACCAAACTGGGAAAAACATCTCTTAGACCTCTCCTTACATGGGCATTGTCAGGTACAAACAGTTAACCTTCCACAAACTGTTGCTAAGATGTTGGAAGAACATCATTATCTCAAATGTCACTGTATGTTGTAGCAATAAACCCTATTTTGATTGGAGCTCATGCAAAAAAAAGACCAAAAACAAAAGTGCTCACATACTTGTGGCTACGTGTTTGCTATGTTTCATATTTATATTCAGCACTGACATCATGTTGCACTAACATGCTCTAAAATGTAGGTTTTAAATGTCTTTACTTCCATTTCTGCTGCATAGTAGACAATAGGGGATGGGGGAGCATGAGCGTGTAATTAGCTGAAGCTGCATGTGTGTGATTAGATCCATGCTGCACCATCACTGGAGGTGGAGTTCCCCTCTCCTGGCTGTGTGCTTTGTGTTTGAGAATCAGCCCCGGGCCAACACCACACTGACACTCTGATAAATCATTGATCTCTTGTCTGGTTTCCGTCCTTGATATTGCAGGGAGGAGCAATGAGAGCAACTTAATGTTTCATTGTTAGAGAGTGGAAAGTGATCAGCGTATTTGCTTTAGGTGGTTGGTTAAAACCTGTGTGTGTATTATATCCATGTATACAGATTTTTTTGCGTAGGTGTAAGTGCATTTGTCGGGGAAGGGAGAGGGAAGAAGCAGTGAAGGGGGAAAGAAATGGCGTGTGTGTGTGTGGGCGGCACCTGAGGATCTGGAGTGAAAAACCATTATACAAACACAGCAGCAGGGGAGGAAATTCTCAACTCAAGGATTCATTCAGTTAGAAAACAAATGTCCTTTTGTCATCTGCCAAGGTTTCAGGCAACTACTTCATAATGTGATGACAAAAATATTGTTGTGACTTAGCCAAAATAATGAGGTTTAATGTTAAATACAAAATGTGAGGAAAATCCATCCATCCTTTTTTAGCAACATGTAGCAAAATTCACAGCCATAAACTGAGCTGGATCTTTTGTTTAAAATTCCAAACAATCGGATTGAATAGTAATTTCCTTTTTATTTCTATCAAAATTGGAGATAAGGTGAGTCAGAGATTGACAGATAGATTTTTGTCATAAATTCATTACGTAACAACTTAAGTTAATTAAGTATTTAGCTAAATTGTCTTTATATTTTGGTAGATGCAGTTTGATTATGACAGATTATCAAGAGCATACTCAACACTCTGCTCAAAACAGAGCAGATCACCACAGACGGTTGTCACAGATCATCATGTGATGCACACCTAGCATCAAATCAGCATTTTCATCTCATTAAAGATGTAAATGGTAATAGGTGGTTATTGGCAGCCCTCTAAGGGTCCAACAGGAATTAATGGATGGATGGATGAATCAGATTATGATCACAATTAACATATTCAACGTGATGCTATGCCGCCTCACACTTCGCCAGGATTTCAAACTACACTGAAAAAAGTGTTTACCAAAAATAATACTTCAAATAATTGAATTTGTTCAAATAAAACTTAACAAGTCATATTAACACAATTGAACTGTAATTTGAATCATTTAATTCAGTCATGTGTTACCAAAAATTGTCTTTTTGTTAAATTCTTAAAAGGATTCATCTCATTCCAGGACATTAGAGTGGCTTTGTGTATAAATTCAGCAGTATGTCTCTGAAAGACAGAGGGTATTTTAAACAACTCTTTGTTGTTCCACAAAATGTAAAAAGCATTCATTTCATGTCCCATTATAATAAACAGCTACTTTATTAAGATTACTGTGAGTTGAGTTTGGTTAGGGTCAGTTTAGTTGTTTGTAATGTGGTGTAATCCCTCAAGTGTTTTAATGTACTAAGCAGAACCCACCCAATAAGTAAACACTGTTGTATAGCTACACAAACACTGTGGGTTTACATAAAAACTAATAATGGAGCTGTAAGTAATTATCATGTTATGGTTTTTGATTATCTTTCATGATAATGGAAAACAACACTCGTGACAGTGGGAATGTGGTGTAGTTAAAGATTATGTGATGGCCACGGGGCTTTAAGCAGCCATTTCATTTGCTTAAATGCTTGGGGCCACCTACGCTTTAACTCTTCACAAACTACATGCTAATTACAGAGATGGCAATAATAGATGAGAGGCGACATCAACCCTGTACTTTAAATTGAATGACACCACAATGAAAATTGTTCTTACTAATCTGTTCACCTATGTAGAAAATGTTTCTATGGCAGGTTTGTTTGATCTGGAGATGAATACAAAAATATTATTACTTTTTATATGGAAGGGTGTTATGGCAGGAATAAGATTTTTTTAATTTTGAGAAAAAGTGGAAATGTTGACAATAAAGTCAACTGGTTCATCAGTCCTAGTTAGAGGAGTGACTGCAATCTTTAAGAGCATTAAATCCTCAGAGTGTAGAGATGTAACTATCGATTACCTTGCATTTGTCCATTATCAGCTATTTCAGTTGGTTTTCTTCTTCTGAACAGACACAGTTTTCGGTACAATCTCAAAGTCAAAGTCCTTACACTGAAAACCACTCTGTGTGCTGAAAGAGAAAGAATATCCTTGTTATTAAGACAAAGTACAACTTTACCAATTCATGTACAAATATAGGTAGTTTAATTTAATCCCAACATTTTGACTTTATTCCCATTAGAAAAACAAAGACAAATTCTTGAAATGCAAAAACAAATCTCTTCTCTTTCTTCCTTATGGCCTTAACAATCTGTACTTTTGAGCATTGGGTACATCCACAATCATTTAAAAAAAAAAAAAAAAATCATTACTGTTCCTTCGTTTACGCCTGCCAATGCCTGATTTTTACTTTTCACCATTGCTGTTTCTTGTTCTTAGTGTTTTCTGCAACCAACAGTAAATTAAATATTTGCTTCCTGTTTACTTCCTGCTTTGTGTTCCCAGTGTACATGCATACTGACTTGCATTTTCAGTTGTGTTGGTATGGAGGCAGATTAATTCTGATACACAGCAAAACTGCTTTTAGTTTGAAACTGTGTTTTAGAACCTAGACATAAAAGTTTTTTGTGACAAGAAATGTCAGTTTCATCGTACTAATAACACATTAGTGCTTTATCAACCAAAAGATTTTTCTGTGACTGAATTTCCTTTCAAAAGCATCAGTAATTGAATTACACATCCAGCATTTAGTTTGTCATGACCAAATGTGTCCGTGTAAATTCATATGTAGTGTTGTGCTCATCACTATAACTGTGTTCACTAAGCCTACTGGTATTTTTAATATAGTTTGAAAAAACAGATATCACCATTGTAGAACTTCTGCATATACATACTGCTATTTATGGGAGGGGATGTTGTTTCTCTGCTTAATTTCCATTAATAATGCATGTTAGTCAATGGCATAGAGTGTGTGGGTTTGATCCTCTTTTAATTGGAGGCAGGATATATGCACCAGAGCCTTACCAATACTAAACTTTATTGTTAAGTTTCTATTGTATGAATAAACTCACTTTGTGTACCAGGTGTCGCTCAAGTGCTGAACAGGCTCGACGGGAAACCATTTGATGATGCAGACCAGCGTCTCTTTGAGGTATTATACCTGTATTTGTACATTTTCTGTGTAAAGTATTACGTGGTCATAATAGAAATGGCTGTGGTAAAGTGTTTGTGTGTTTAATTCTGTTCTTAGGCATTTGTGATCTTTTGTGGACTGGGCATCAACAACACCATCATGTACGACCAGGTGAAGAAGTCTTGGGCCAAACAGTCCGTGGCTTTGGATGTAAGAACACTTAATTGATCTTCTGCCTTCCTTCAAGTTATTAAAAACAAATCATCTTCTCTGCTTCAAATTGCAAAAAAACATTACCATGCAAACTGTGATGCTGCTTCAGACTGTTGACATCAGTGGATTCTGTACTGCACCTGTTCACTACTACAACAGGAGTCTAGGAGTGTGTGCATTCTGATTTGATCAAATATCTTTGGAGGCGATCTCCATTTATTCTCTTTTCCCAATGACTAAATTGTTACATGAGCTCTCCCATGGAGTGCAACATTAAAAAGGGCTACAGGACAATTAAACAACATAATTATGCTAGTATATTACAAAATAACTTTTAAGCTATTGACTCTAGCAAGGAAACGTACAAACAGAGAATCTAAAATATGGAAATTCCCCCAAAAGTGAAGTTAGGGGAAAATAAACTTTCCTAAATGTTCCATATATTGATTATGGAGGATTTTACACCTTGTAAAAGAAGGAAATGCAAATAAGGAATCTAAGACACGATGCTTCCTCTGTGGTCGCTTTGCTGAGAATGTATTTTCAAAAGTTCCTACACTGATACGAGGTTCCTTAAGTATTTACACAATAAAGTGCATTTATTTTCCATTTAATATGATATTTCTCTGAAGCAGGTCAATTTTAATGTGACAGTTATTCATGAAAACGATCTATGAATTAAGAAACCCACTTAAATTGACAAACTAAAATTGATTGCAAGTTAAAACACTAATGTAAACAACATTTGTCTCTGATTTACTTGTTCCTTAAAATGGGCAATGACATAAGACAATGAACACATTCATATTCATTACTAATTCATCACACACAAACAAAGCATACGTCTAGTACCTCGTGTGAGTCTCTTGCTGGGCTATACACAGTAAATACACACAGTGCGTGTAGCAGTCATGCTAACATCATGTCACTGAGGGAGGAGTTGGTGCTAGCTGCTCAACAATGCGTCAGTTAACTCGATACAAAAAAATAATCCTGCTTCAAAACCCACTCATCGTTCGGTCACAAAGAAAACAACCCAGCGATCACATTCAAAAGTTCAAGAGCTCACCTGCTCGGGACGTACCTGGAAAAGGTGGAAATGTAAATACGACACTTCCTCTGTGGCCGCTTCACCGAGAGCTCCCCCTTCCGGACTCTGCAGGCATCACCAATCAAGCGCGAGCAAAGGCTGAACAGGTAGATCACAGATGACCACAGATTATAGGTATTCTCAGGTACTGTTTTCTTTTTAACCTCCTCTCTGAATTTAACCTTTTTAATGAGGCTTTATTTTTATGAGCCCCTTTCACCTGTTTATAGATCAATTCCATTTTGTTTTGAATTCTCATAAAACCAACCTTTCACACACACACATATATGTATATATATATATATATATATGTCATAGATGTAGTAACTATTTACACAGATTTTATATTTTTATAAAAATGTTTTTTAATAAAAATATAAAATACATGTATATTGGACTCTTGCTAGTCTTTAGTCTCCTTTTGCCGTGCCTGTATGTTCATTGTGTTTATGTTAGCCTCATGCCCCCCCTCTGATGATTTTTCCCTGCTCATCTTATTTGTTCTTCTATTTCATTCTTCCCTGTCAACAGACGCTCTGCGCTGAAACATTTACCCAGAACTCACCGGAAACAATGGCTGCTGTAAAGGGCTAATATAAGATCTGACTTATTCTCTCTCAGGGGGTCCTCGTGCTTGGCTCCACTTCTTAGTCTCATATTTCTACTAGAATGTGCACCTGAAAAAAAGTGCTGATCTCTTTTTGCAGATAACCTTCCCCACAAAGGTTTTATTGAGAATTAATGAGAGGCGGCGAAAAGCGATCCCTCATCTGCCCTGCAGTATGTGGCTGTCCAGCACACTGGCCTTACAGTTTGTCCTTAGATTAAAATAGGGAGCATTATAGTAAGTTAGCATTGCTCTGTTTCAAGATAGAAGACAGGGAGAACATAGAGATATAGAGCAGTCAAAGGAGGGAAACAGAATGCACTAATATGTAGATGCATCGCTCCTGGCAGCACTGAATAAACATGAGCGTTTATGATCAAATAAGCAACTGCAGGTCTGTGCGAGGTATTTCTCTCAGGAAATGAAGGGAACATGGCGATGGAATCCGTGATGGCGTTTCTGCTCTTGTAGGCTGTTCTAGAGGGCAGTGGAAACTTCCTCATCTGGAAGATCTGCCAAAATGCAGTGATACAAATGTACAGTAGTCTCAGCCACAGCCAAAGCATGATCTGAAAAATATCCTGAGTGACACTGTGTCATTATTTTTGCAGGTGCTGTCTTACCATGCCACTTGCTCCAAGACTGAAGTTGACAAATTCAAGGTAACAGATATTCACAGTTGCCTTCATTACAGTTGTCTCAGCAAAACCCTTTTGTTTCTCTCTATATTTACAGTGGTCTGGGGGATTTGTTTTTCAAACCCGGATATTAAAGTCACATTTCATGACACTGTTGTTCTGAAGCCTTTGTCTGTTTAACCAGAGCCTGGTGTATCTCATTCCCACATTGTTAGCCCATTAATGTCCACAGTGGAATTTATCTGACAAACTATTAGAGCCACTTAAGGGGCAAAATTACAGATTTTAAGAATAAGGTCATAATATTATATAATATAAAATTGCAATTATGATGTTATGAGTATCAAGTCACATTATAATGAAAGTTAATTCATCATATTGTGATAATGAAGTCACAATATTATGAAAAATAAAGACGTAATATAATGAGAATAAAATTATAATGTATGTGTCATTTTAGAGCAAGTATATCAATAGATCACCTGCGTTGAAATGCATCATACTTAAAGTATGAGCTCAGCTAAGAATAACTGGACATTTCTGACATGAGGCTACAGTGCAAAGCATTTCTTAACATGTTTTTTTTAGGTTTTTGTCATAAGGGGTTACTCGTTTTATCATCTTTTGTAAAAACACTTGGTGAACTACAGGTTCCTATGATCCCACGTTCAAAAGAAGGCTGCACTTAATGGCCAACTAAGATTTTCTGCTGCATTTTCAAGAAGAAATGTAGCTCTATGTCCATGAGTATCCATGAATTTCCATTTCCAATTTATATGCTGTACTCTGATTAACTAATGACCTCCTTTTAGTGTATTTTCCCTTAATGTTGCTAAAAGGCAAATTGCAGCTGAATAACTGCACTCAACAAGTCTTTTACCACAAGGCAGATGATGAAGGATGATTTGGACTCTTTTCTTACACCCTAGTGACCTGAAGTTATCCAACACATACTGCGACAAACTGCCTGTTTTCTGCTGGGGACGTAGTGTGTGTTTACTCTCGGTGTGGATGGCAATTTATGATTATCAGGTTTGCTCTGGCTGTGCAGATAATTGCAGTAATATAATTTCATTGTTCTCCTTCTCACTTCGTTCCCTTATAAGACATATTACAGAAAATAATAGTATTAAAGGTGCATTATAATGTGACTGAACCCCCTTGTTTTATTAAAGTGTGAAACAGAAACACGGCAGTAAAATTGATTTCACTGATGTCTAAAATGTAATGGTTTACAGGAAGGTAAATTCTTGGAAATTTAGCCCACAATGCATTTGTGTTGCTCATGGGCCTTTTAATTAAGATATATTTTCTAATTAAATAACAATATCTCATTAACTTTAATGGGGAAGAAAAAATCTATGGCAACAGAGAGAAATTATTGACAGCCTATCATCCAGACTTCATTCTCAGGTTCCTCCAAAGAACCGCGTCAGGAACGTAAAGCATAAATATGGGCCAAGAATTCCCCAGTGAATATAAACTAATTGTGGTGTTTTAAATGGATTACTCCAATCAACAGGCAATCATTCCCGATGCATTATTTACAAAGATGAAAAATGAAAATATCTACATTTTTAATTGGCGTGACATTTCTGAAATATAGATATGACCTATTTTCCTGCACTTTCATGTGTAGGATTTTCCCCTGTGGCCATTACCGTGAAGTAGGAACCCTGCTTTCTAGTGTGATTGTGTGATCTCTCAGCCCCCTCATCCAGCATCGAGCTCTGCCTCCTGCCTTTCCCCCACTTTCTTTCGTAACTGCTCTACATTCAGAGTCGAGCCTAAGCGCCGGCAAACAGACCTGGCTGACACATTTTTCTTAACCTGGGGCCGTGAATTAAGAGAGAGGAGAAGACCTGCTGACCTGACAGGCAAACGTTTGAGAGGGAAACGCCACAGCTCTGTTGGCTGTCACACAGGATGGGAACAGATTAGACTGAAAGTGTAACACAGATTTCTCAGACAGCATTGACTCCTTGTTATGAAATCCAGGTTATGCTGCACGACAGGATATAAATGCTGACAAGAGCCATAAAGGAAATATGTGTGCGTCGTCCTCATTAGACCACTTTGAAGACAGGAGACATGGCTGCTTCGGGTTAATTGGAATCACGCATGTGTTGTGTGTTTTTGTTTGTTTAATTGTGGGGGAAAAAAGGCTGTTGATTACTGCCGTGTGTGTCAATGAGCTCTGAAAGGAAAATAACAGTGAAATCCTCCCTCATTAATCTTAACCCTTACCAAATGAGTCCTCGGAGTCTTAATTAGCATGTCTCCATATTTCCACATATCATGAGAAAATGGCACAACATCGTCTGACCTCTCTGAACTAATATTCTCCTCAACGTTTTCCTCAATTTTTTTTCTATCCTAACATGACGAAACAGGCTGCTAACATCCCCCTGGTTTGCGAGCTGGGCATCGACAAGCTTTCCTTTGACGATTTCTCTCTGGATGTCGACGCCATGATAACAGCCGCTCTTAGGATGTTCATGGAGCTGGGAATGGTGCAGAAATTCAAGATTGACTATGAGGTATAAGACCAGCGACTTTCTTTGTCTATTTACTTTGAATAATTGACAGAATTTCCCCCTCGAACACGATTTCTGACCCATGTGCTCGACTCTTTTTTCGGTCTTCCCCTCCAGACACTGTGCAGATGGCTGCTGACTGTCAGAAAAAACTACAGAATGGTCCTTTACCACAACTGGAGACACGCTTTCAACGTCTGCCAGTGCATGTTTGCCATGCTAACGGTAAAGATCATGCTAACACCAGATCGGTATATGAGTCAGACACATTCACATGCTCTTCCGAAGGTCCCATTTCCAGAGTTGTGAAGTCAGTGATCCGACTTCAGGGTTTTCATTCGGAGCGTTTAAACAACACCTTGACACCTCTTTCCACTATGTGCATGATTGCGATGCGCAAAGAAAAAGGATATAATCTTAAACGTATGCAAATTAATCATAAAAACATCTGCATTGTGTAAAAAAATTGGTGTTTGGTGCTTCAGAGAGATGGAAGTGACCTAAGTTTAACTTTAACACATTCTGTTGGATGCTACTATTTAAAGCTGACTGTAAAATTAGATTGATTGGTTTATAAATGACGACGTCAGAAACTCAGCAACTCGCACGTGAAAACTTTAACCAGCTGTCTGAGTTGTTGTTCTGACTTGAGGTCACTTTTACAATTCATCCCAAGCCACGTTAAAGCACCGGCATGAACTTACCCAAGATGCATTCAGGATGCAGATCTGATCCCTCAGAACACCATCAGAGGTGGTCATGGAAGCATGTGGCCACATTACTTTGCCAGTGTGTATCTTAATGGTTTCCTGAGCTACAATGACGGACCGCCTACTCAAATGACGTCCTCAGCAAAAGCAGAGGTACAAACTAATTCGTTGTGACAATGGCTGAGTGAGCCGTCCAAAAAACGTCATGCGTAATTTTGCTTACAAACAAACGAACAGACAGACAAACGGACAGGGGTGAGAACATAACCTGCTTGGCTGAGGTCAAATACAGCATCTTGTCAAATTTAACAAGTATTTCATGTAAACCTGCCATATTTTGCAAATATTTCATAAAATCTTTATTTACATCTTTTCTTTCCCTGACATTATCTTAGCTGTGCTTCTGTTGAAATAAACAAGCTTAATACTTACCACTGGAGGTCAGTGAGGTGGAGGGAGCAGCAGCAAATGGAGTTAAGGTTAATCAAGTGTGGGGTTATGATGGACGACTTCAGTGGCTATCGATGCCCCGTTATTGTCAAAGTGAGACGGGCTGATGATACATTTCTGTTTGACCTGCGCTCACATCCCGGAGTTAAACGCTGACTTCTTTGTGTTGCTAATGACACAAACAGCCCATTCTGTGCAGAGCCCAACAGAGGTGTTTATTTAAATAGAGACCCCAGGAGAATGATCAGGGTCCTCGGGGCAACGCACTCGAACACGCACACTATTACACAAACAGCACGGTGTAGTTCATTTAATCAAGCTCTGCATTAATACACGGTGTCCCATCTGAATTGATTATTGGCAGAGGAAAATGAAATAGTAGTGTGTAAGCTGTTCTGGACCCCTGCACTCTCCTGCCATGTGTTTTAATGAGAGAGAGGGCTGTGCTATCTTTGCCTCTACCCCCACAATGACCTATAGTGACTCACTCAGCACATGGCCTGCAGAACCCATTCATCCAAGCCATAAATCTCCCAGTGTGACTGTGTTACCGCAGTCCCACTGGCATTTTAGGGAGATACTGTTTTTTTTCTTTAGGATGCTGCTGCTGCTGTTGGAGTGTTTTCCATTTTTATTCAATGTTCTCCTCACAGCTTCGCAGAATAAGAGAAGAAGAGATGCGGCTGTGTTCCTCATAGTGTGTGTGTTTTTTCATCTGTACCAATCAGACGGCGGGCTTCCAGGAGACTCTGACAGAGGTGGAGATCTTAGCGCTCATAGTCGGCTGTGTGTGCCACGACTTGGACCACAGAGGCACTAATAACGCTTTTCAGGCAAAGTGAGTGTTCCCCACTTTCTGTCTGTCTGTGTCAAACTCGCACATAAACACGCTCCCTCCCACACACAGTTTACTGTGTGTTTTCCCACCTGCAGCTGTCAGTTCAGCCCAGATCAGCAAGAGTCAAGAGGGAAGTTGTGTAAGGCTAATGTAAGGGCCTGGCTAACGAAGAGCCAGCAAACACTGCGACTGTGAGCACATTTAGATCAGCAGCTAAAACTGTTGTCACCTTGCTTAAAGTTCGTATTCCTCTTCCCTCAGTGAGGTTATTATGGTAGAAATGAAAACCAGGTGGACACATAATCATAGAAAAAGTGTAGATATTTTTATCCACAGACTTAAACTGTTTTTTTTCATCACGTCCCAATTGACTGGGACTTGATTGATTTGGCTCCAGGAGGATTCATTTCAGTGTTGAAATGCTGCAGTTGCCAGTTTCATCACATCAGATTTCAGGAAAAGTGTTTGTTCATTCAATTTAATTGTATTTTAAGTATTATTATAAATAAAATTACATATTTGAAATAAATCAAAATAAAAAATGAAGGCAGAATAAATTATTACAAAAACAACAGTTTCCCAAATTTAAAAACTTTGGCTCTATTGTCTCGCTGTACAAGCCTCAGGATTTCAACTCCAATTCAAATAATGATCATAGTGAATGGTGATGATATGAAATTCAACTGCACTTTAGGTTTATGACTCTGTTATTACTGAGCCATAGTTGGCGACAGCGTGCAGAGTGAATTGGTTGAGGGAATTACAACAGACTCAACAGCAGACGTTGCTTCTCAGTATGTGTTGAATGCTGATGATGTTATCTCTCTTCTTGTGTGTGTGTGTGTGTGTGTGTGTGTGTGTGTGTGTGTGTGTGGCAGGACGGGCTCAGCACTCGCTCTGCTTTATGGGACCTCTGCTACACTGGAGCACCACCACTTCAACCACGCTGTTATGATCCTGCAGAGTGAGGTGCTCTATCGTTTTCATGAAGCTTCTGCCAGTGTCTATAACTGCATGTTGTGTTTGTGGAATATACAAAGAAGCCTTATTTTTAAGGTCTAAGTTTGGTCTGCCGTGTCATGACAGTGAGCCAACACGTATAACATGAAATGCATGAAATGTCATTTTTAAATGATTTCGAACACTAATGCCTGTTACTCTATGATTGGTTCATAGCGCCACCCAGTGTAAGGTTAGCTTAGCTTAGCACAAAGGCTGGAAACAAAGGGGAACAGCTAGCCTTGTTCTGTCCTAAGATTGAAAGAATCCAATTACCAAGAACTCGAAAGCTGATGAATTAAAATATATCTTCTTTTAAATAGACATGTTGTGGTTTTCTGCTGCCTAGTATCAAAGTTTCAAAGTTTTCTTTCATACTATATATTTCTCTTTACTCTCTAGAGTAATGTACATTAATCAAAATGTTGACGTCCACTTTTCCTTAAAAAGATGAAGGGTTTGTACTCACTGAGCCTAAAGGTAACATATGGAGGCTCCACGTCTGCTGCATGTGAGCGAGCAAACAAATCGCTCGCTCTGCCCTCAAATCAATGTAATTACAGAGGCGATGGATTTGGTGGTAATTGGCTGAGAGAGACATTTTACCAGGTGACTGGGTTTGCGTGCAGTTGTAATTAAAGATGTTTGGCGGGAGCAGCTCACATGAGGCTTAGGTTCCAGCGTCTTCATTATCATGGTGCTGACAACACAGTATAAGCTGACAAATGTTTGCTCGGAACATCATAATGGTTTCCGTTGATACTGGGGCTGAACTACCACTGTGCTATTAGCATATAAATGAATAGCAGGGCTAACGCAAGTAGAGGAGAAAGCTCACGATTCAATCGGACGGCCCTCTCCAACCATTAATTAAAATGTAAACTTTTAAACGTCCTCCCTGTGTTTGTTTCCTCTTCCTATTTTACTCGCCACCCTCCATCCGCTCCAGCTGTGACAGAACGAGAGAAGTGTGATGTGTCTCTGCTGTTACGTGGTTCAATATTTCATGCGAGCACACGAGCGGATGAAAAGGATTCTCAGGGATGTGCTGGGACGGGCTTCACACTGGAGCTTTTGAAAGAAAACATTGTCCAGTTTAAATCATATAATATTTTTATGAATGGCTCATTATCAATCATCTCATTCTAGAACTTCACTGTCATCACCTCTTCATCCTCCATTTTCTCCACAGAGGCTCTTCATCCTCCAGAGGGAGGTGTCCAAGTGGTGAATGAATGTATAATACATAACGTGGGAGAGGCCTGTTTTAATGATAGAGTGTCTCCAGTGAGAGATGCTGCTCACTTATTAAGAGCCGAGCTGCTGGATTCCCTACTGTCCACCGCAGATCCATTCATATGTTTGTACCTTGTGCAAACTCTCTTTTTTAATGAAAGAGTCAAAGTAGAGAAGCAGAATCACCTCCCTCGCTCACCGATTCATTATTCTATACATAGACACTCAACACTACTCTACAGTGAGAAGTAAACTGAGATTATTATATTACCACTGACAGCTGTTGGGTTGCACAACTGTAATTTTCACATCTATTAAATGGGACACATTGCATTGTGGGATTACTTTCAGGGATTAGTGATGCCATGGACGCTTTTCTTTCACTCCGCTGTATATATATACATATATATATATATATATACTCATACTATAAATGTAAATAAATGGCTCACTGTTGTCTTCGAACACTTGAGTAGAACAGAAAGAAAAGAACCATTCTTCATGATGTTAGTAATGTGCTTTTCTTTCTATAACAGAGCAGCAGTGACTTGGTTAAGTGTTGACAAAATATTGAAAGACAAACTAATCTTATTTTTAATTTTCCTTTCATTAAATCAAGTACATTTTGATAATCTTAATGATCTGCCATTATGTAAACCCATTATCATACTGGTTTTATTCATTTGACTAATTAAAATACTGAATAGGTTTCCAGAATTAAGAGGTGTGGAACCAGGCTGTAGCTTAACAAAAACATTTTTAAACTTTCAACAAAGAAAATCTCTGTGATACATCTGTTGTTGACACAGATTGTAATAGTAATAGTTGTAGTAGACATTTACCTCTTTATCCCAAATTCCTGTACGAAGCAAATCGTGAGCAAATCTGGATAATAACTGGATTATTTGAAGATGACAACTGATTGTTAATATTGAGTCTATCATAATTACATTATTTATAATATTAATTTATTGCAAAAAAAGGGAACAGAAATAAAGCTGTATAACAGGTCGCTGGGACATTTAATCAAACACATGTTATCTATGTTGTTGTCATTAATAATGAATCCATGGGAGCTGGACTCTGTTCTTTCAGGCTCTATGTGTAGAAAAAGTGACATTCAGTGTATTTATCTTCTTGATCTGTGTTTTTCTCCACAGGGTCACAACATCTTCTCCAACCTGTCGTCCACAGAGTACGGGGACCTCATGCAGCTGCTCAAACAGTCCATTCTGGCCACAGACCTCACGCTCTACTTTGAGTATGTTCTCTTTATTAAACTGTTAAATCTCCACTTTCACAATAAACTGCTCAGTTTCTTCAAGCTGTTTGTTGGAGGCTTCTTTTAGCAAGTACCGCCCCCTTGTGGATTTTGTGTACTTTACACCTTGATGAGTGGACATTGTGTTTCCCTGCAGGAACAGAAACACGTTCTTTGAGCTGGTCAGCAAAGGAGAATACAACTGGAATGTAAAGGCTCATAGGGACATGTGCAGGTAATGTCCTGCACACAGAAATTACAGCAACTTTGTCTTCTAAAGAGTAAAACAACAAGAAAAATCAAATAAACCTGTGGGTGTGATCTCCTCAGGTCCATGATGATGACAGCGTGTGATCTCGGTGCTGTCACTAAACCTTGGGACATTTCACGCAAGGTGGGAAATATAAATATGAAATCTGTCTACTCTGTCTGAGCCAGCTATAAATGATCAATTTTTCATGACAAAACACCAACCTTGCCTTTGTTCCAGGGAACTGCTGCTTTTCTTTGTCTTATGCAATAAGAATGTTTTTGTTTGGGCAAAACAAGCAGTGTGTTATATTTGAGCTTTATAAAACTGTGACAGGCGACTTTACAGACCAGGATAATCTGATGCATTGAGCTCATTCATCTTACATGACTACATGACCATGAAAACAGTTGCTGTCCTGCCTCTGTGTTTTCAGGTGGCAGAGTTGGTGACCAGCGAGTTCTTCGAGCAGGGCGACAGAGAGAGATCTGAGCTGAAGCTCACACCCTCTGTGAGTGCACCGAGCCGTCTCCTTCTGCAGCTTAGTGCTTTTTGCAGTTTGTCTCACCTCTGTGACCTCAACATGCTGATGGTGCTGGAGATATATTTCCTCGCAGTTCTCTACATTTATATATAAATATATATATATATATACACTGACTGCGCAGGAGACATGAGCGCTTGTGTCTCTGTGTGAGAAAAGTGTATTGTCAGCTTGACCGCTCCACTGCCTCTCTGCTGTGCCCAAAGCAAAACTGTGGACAATCATTCTTAAAAAAAAAAACGTTGAAGCCCTTTTGCATGGGATTCACAACAAACACTGACCTTTCTGTTCATTTAGCTGTAAACACAGGAGGCTTTTTGTTGTATTGAAGCTCTTCTACACTCTGCCAAGGCCCAGCAGTCGCCTCATGAAACATTTAGATTCACTAGATCCAGATTTCTATTTGGATTTTCACCAAATTGACACACTCATAAATATCAGTTCCCCAAATATGCATGATTTTTTCATGAACATCTATGAATTATTCTCAGAGAAATCAAGCTAAATGTTGAAAACAGCCCTATCTCGCGATATTGAAGAAAATGAACACATTTAACCGGTTTTCCCATAATGCAAAGAGACATTGAATTCAGTTGAGTGATTTTTTGCATAATCCTGCAAACTAACAAATAAATCCAGATGAAAACACAAGACTCGTACTCAGTAGAGCGCACATCTCCGCCAAAGCCTAACAGTCCCTTCAAGTGAATCAAGCTGCACACCCTCATAAATATCAGTTCCCTGAATGTGCCTGAATTTAATATCCATCAAAAATGCAAAAGAAAACAATCTGGTAAAAACACACACAAAAAAATCATGAATCCACCCCCTGATCTGGATTTGCACCAACATTGAATGTGCTCCCCCCTGACCTATACTGCATCCTTTCACCACATTTTGTTACAATCTGCTCAGTAGTTTTTGTGTAATCCTGCACACAAACCAACAGACAGTTGAAAACCCGATCTCCTTGGCAGAGGTGATAAATACATTTATTTTCGCAACCAGAGTAATAATATAAATAATAATAATAATTTTTATAAAAACAGACAGAGACTTTGGTCCTAATGAAGATGTTTGTCTTAATTCATGACTTATTCATATCGTCCTCAAAGCCACAGCACAGGAGCGGAGTAGCCCACTGTCTGTTTGATTGAGGAGCTTTGAAGGCTCAACTGTGCTGCAAGTTCTTAAAGGGGAGAAAAAAACCAGCAGCCTTTCTGTGTGCAATTAATGGCTGTTGACTAATCGAGCCAGGCCACATTGCCTCCCCTCTGAAATAACTAATGCAGTAGCCTCAGGTCCGCCGCTTGTGTCAAACCTTAAACACTCCGTGTGTGGGCGTTGGAAATGAAATATTAACTTCTAAAGTCGTAGCCCAGTAACTATCGCTAAAGCGCAGCCTCTGTGGAGCCTCTTTAAGTTTTCGGCTGCAGGAGAATGAAGAAGAATAGAAAATACACATGAAATAAACTCCATTGTCTCGAGAGCCGAGGGAGAGTTTTCTTTAACCAAAGTGGCACATTAGAGAGCGTGAACCTGATGTCATAGTAAACACAGAACCACATTTCCCTTTGTTTCTCCGTTGTGAGCACAAAGGTTGGTGCAACTTTAATTTTTTTGTCTGCTCTGTTTCAGGCCATCTTTGATCGGAACAGGAAGGACGAGTTGCCGGGGCTACAGCTGGAGTGGATTAATGGAATTTGCGCGCCGCTGTACGAGGTAACACTCGATGCTCTCCGGCCTCTTTTGTGTCGCACTTGACACACACATTGGACTATAGCGCCGAGCCACCGTCCTTCCTCAGTTATTGTCCCCCTCTGTTGACGCCAGCAATGAAACTGTCACTAACAGCCATTCAGCTTTTCTTTGCAGCCACAGATTTCTCATTGAAACAACTTCAAGGTCTCATCCTAGCAGAATGAGTGTGCACTTTCCAAATGCAAGAGAAGCTCTGAGGTGTGAAAAGAGCTGTGATTTTAGTCGGGTTAAATCCCCCGACAGCAAAATAGCATATGGATGTGGGCCACTTCAGGCAATGATGCCACATGTGGGGCCCAGAGAAAATGGATGTGAGCCTAAATTGGCCATTGTGGTTAATGGTGACTATGGCCCAAAAAGCACAAAACTAATTTGGGCCTCTCTCGACACCTTTATTTGATGTGCGGTATTGCTATGGCTTACTTATGGCCCAGATCTGGCAAACAGAAGTGGACCGCCCAAGTGCCATTACTCCACGTGGTATGTGGCCCGGATGAAAGTGTTCTGTGGGCCAATTTGGTCCGAACTAATTTTGCAATGTTGGCTGTAAGGTAGTGGAGTGTGTTAAAAGAGCTGTAATGTTAGTCGGGTTAAATCCCCCCTGGTAAGACTGTATATGGATGTGGGCCGCTCCTGGCAATGATGCAGCACTTCTGGCCGTCTTGTGGCCTGGACAAAATGGATCTGAGCGGAAAGTGGCCCATTTGTAAAATACCAAATGTGGCCCAGATATCCCAAAACAAATCTAGGCCCTTTTTTAGCAAATGTGGTGCTTTAGGCAATCTGTAATCTGGATGTGAGCCTAAAGTGGCCCATGTGCTGAACAGTGAATATAGCCCAGATAGCAAAAAACAAATTAGGCCACCTTTGGTTGACATGAGGCGTTGCTATGGCAGGAGCGGACAGCCCAAGTGCCATAATTCCATGAGGTCTATGAGCCAAATCTGGACCAAAACAGCTTCCTTGCAATGTGATGGAATAAGGACTTTGTTTGATTTTATTGTAAAATGCCAGCAGAGCGAGAGTTAGAGATTATCTTTGAAGGAATAAACGCTGTGCAGATAATGGAAATCTATACAGAAGTCCTTTCTGGTATAGCACTGTGTGCGCCTGTGTTACTGAATGACGTCAAGAGCGCTCACCTGCCCCTCCCTCTTGCCAGCAGCGGTGGCTGTGTGGGAGGAAGAAGGCCGACTTCACTGAGGAGATGAGGTCTGTTAAGAGCTGAGGAGCGTCGAAGGCAAATTCATGAAAGTCAAACACGAGGAGGAGTCGTGAAAGAAGTCAAGGATGAAATAGTTCATTCATTCTCTGAGCAACAGGGCGATTTGTCTGCTTTTGTAGCATCAGACCTCCTCCTCCTTTGTGCTGTCATATTAAAACACACATTAGTTTTAGTCAACAAACAATAGATCATCCTCACGTATATTGAATTATCTCAGAATCAGGGTGGAAAGTTGGAGCAGACTGTGATCTGTGCTCTGCTTTCACCATTGTTGCTGTCTTTGTAGTGCAGATAAAAGGGCATCAAAGTGGTGTGTGTGTGTGTGTGTGTGTGTGTGTGTGTGTGTGTGTGTGTGT